GGGGGGTGGGGATTCAGGCGCGAAATCTAGAGGGAGCACGCACTTACCATATCCATCAAAAACCCAAAATCGAAAAACGTGGACAGGTGTAATTTTTTTAGATTTGCCCATTTAATTTGAGTTCCTACATAAAGAGGGTATGGAAACTGGGTCTCCTAAAGACCCTAATAGGATTTTAAAAAAAGCGGCGAAACTAGTCAGATGAGAAGGGGTCGTTGCCAACCTTTGACGGTTATCACCTGCTGTGCCTATTACCAACCTTACCATAGGAGAGGTTCAAGTCGAATATTTTAAATACTCAACTATATGCACGGTGAAACGAGCGAATAAACCTCATCATCTGCGCTTTTGAATCATCTGCATGCAACGTCCGCTGCACAGTGGATCGAGTCAATTAGAGAGGTCGGACATGAACTTTTGACTAAAACTACAAATTTTGATCTTCATTTTGTCACATTTTAAAGTTCAAGGGGTGCTACTAGAAGAAAATTTCACAAGAAAACCAATGAAACCACTTTTAGAGCTTCAAAGTTTTGTATAAACGGAGTTGAAAGCGTTTAAAGTTTCCAAATTCTGTCCGATCTCTCCTATTGACTCGATCCACTGTGCGCCGTTTGTTTTTTCATCCATAAATACAAATCTGTAAAGGTTCAGGTTCATTTATAATGGGCAACGCTGGAATTTAGATTGAGTCTGAGAGAAACGAGAAATCTACATCGTTCTTTGAAGTAGTATTCTCGCGCAGAGAGGATCTTACCCATTTTTTGACTAGTGAAAGACTGACCTGAAACCCTTCCCCACCCTCTCCAAAAATGTCAGAAGATGGCGGAAAAGTATGCAAAATACCTGGGGAAAAATGTATTTTTATTATAAAATATTATTGCTCTTATTTTATTTATCAAAAAAAGCAGAGCTTACGTAAAACAGGGCTTTATCCCTCTACCCCTTGAAAGACCTCGTAGGATAAGCTCGACTCCCACAGTCCCACCTCCCCCTTCAGTATCTTGCGTGATACTTGAACGGTTCCATTGAACTGCCTGCGTCTATCAGTCAGGAAGACGAAGCGAAGTGCACGCAGTTAAAACTCCTTCAATCCTTCAAATAGGCAATATTAGAAACACTCGAGCCGCAATAGTTATCTAGTTGGCGCCTGCATCTTTCGTCAATGATTTACAGTCAACAATGTTTTTAGTTGTCTCAGTTGCGCCAAATTTAGGAAAAGAAAAAAAAGGAACAAAAATTGGTGCGATGTTGCCAAGATTGTGCAATGTATCATTTGCCGGAAAAGCTGAGAGAACGTATAAGGAGTGTATTTACGCAAAATCATTTTTTTAACGAATATTTTTGCGTGGAATATTATTATCATTTTCTTAGACTTGAAAGCTCTTTTGTAGAACAAAGGCAGTTGCAGAATCTCAGTGAAATCGCAAGCGCTGGTTCTTTGTATTAAAATCATTCAAATTGATTTCTGTTAATCGTAGACTTAGTTCAGGACCCTCCTCGAAAATTTGTTGACGCGCCGAGAGAGGAACAAAATTACCTTACAAAAATTCACAAAATTCAAAAACAAAACAAGTAAATATATATATAATATGTAAAAATCTTGTCCTAATTATTGTCATTTTTGTGAATGTACACATTTTTAACGAAATAAAAACGAACGTATTAATAACGAAAAAACCATTGCAATTTTGAGGTTTCCAAATTTCATTTACCTTTTTCTTTTTTCCTCTCTTTCTTTTCTTTCAAACTGGGGCGACCAAAATATGACATGATCTCACAGAATTTCCATAGAATATAATCTTGAATGACCCGGCGTTCGGAAAACAATGTTTAAATAGAGCAATTTAAGTTCACACAACGAATGCTGGAAAATCAAAATTCTCCCCGAAAAATGAGATTTTAGTCGGGAAACTCGTGCAGGTTTTCTACAGACACCTTGGGAAACAAGACTAAGTCTTAAATTGAAACCAAATCGGAAATACGGTGGTCTAAAGTGTATATATACACTTTAGACCAACATTTCATTCCTCTTTTCGAAGTCATTTTGCCATTATCCACCGGAGCTTCATCTGAAACAACATTCCCTCTCTCTTCATACATAATTGAGAATTTGCAGGTGTTTGAAATTTGGTAAATTTCATGTCTGAGATGAAACTACCAAGAGAATTGAGCACGAGAATATCCTTGATTCTTAAATGGAACAATTCTTGGATGAGATATGACAAAATAACCGGATCTGCTAAAATACTAGTGTGCAAATGAGAAATACCGCTAGATGACGTCACAAGGCGGTACATTTTCTCGTATTTAAATCTATTTCTCTACAATTCCCCGTATCAAAAAAAAGTTATGAAAAATACTGCGAACTCGGCGAATAACACTCTTAAATGAATCGATAAAAAAAAATTCGTGCGAATTCTATAAAAGCAATTGGTAGGATTGCGAGCTTCTGCCACCCTAATTGGATCGCATTCAGCAAAAAGGAACCAGCGCAATTACAATGTTGTTAAAATGTTACTTCATCACAATTATCTAAAAAATCTCCCAAATAGTTTTTGCACCCCACCAAAAAATTGGTAATTTTAAAGGGAAATAATTGTGTGAATTTTAATACTGTGCATGTATTCAGTATTTTTCATAAGAAAGAATTTGCACGATTTTGAAAACACTGTAATCGCGCTGGTTCCGTTTTGCTAACTGCGCGATCCAATTCATCCCTCTCTCCTCCCGACCGACCCACAGTGGATCGAGTCAATCGGAGAGATCGGACTTGAAATTTTTGACTTAAACTGCAAATTTTAACGTGTAATTCGTCACGTTTTAAATTGTAAGGGATATGCTTTTGGAAGTAAATTTCACGGGGAAACCAATGGAACCACTTTTAAACGTCGAAGTTTTATATATATGGAGTTATAAGCGTTTAAAGTTTCCAAATTTTGTCCGACCTCTCCTATTGACTCGATCCACCGTGCGACCTCTCGTTTCCTGCTTAAGAAATCACTTACACGAACGAGGTAGGCCGCGGACAGTATGAGAACACATCCCCTTAAATGTAGCATCCTCCGGCTTGCAAAGGCACTCGATTAGACTAATCGAGCATGATGGAAGCCATGGACGGCCACGCACATGTTTGCAAGGCTCAAACGCACACTTATAAACTGATAGCGGTATTTTTTAGCCCGACGGTCTGTCTTATAAACAAAAAACGCGTAACTTCCACTACAGCAAGTGGGTAGATGCGTGGTTTCTGCTCGGTATGATAGTGCTCTCCTCGATTTGCCATTACGCCCATGCTCGATCGACGTAATGCGCGGTGAGCAAACTAATAAAGCCTATTCCACAGACCATGGCAAACACCCACCTACTGTGCCGTGTGGAGAATAAACCCCGTATGAGAATTTCGATGTGGCCGAATTATTTAACATAATAATACGAATATTTTTTTAAAAAACTTGTGAGCTTCTTTGTTTAATTGTTTACATAATTAAAATCGCAATTTACTCTGGTGTACCTATGAATGGCCAGGAAAAATATGTATGACTTTCCTTGGAGATAAATATTTTATCAGAGAAAATTTGGCGACATTCGAATTTTCATACAGCGTTTTCCCTAAACAAGGAAGCAAACTGTGGCCTGTGACCTGATGTTCAAATTCGCCAATTGTTTGTCTTTTTTCAAAAACCCAAGAGCGAGTTATCCACTGTCTACTCATGCTCAGTTTTCCTGTTTGAATTCAGTTTAGAAAATTGAACTGGAAAATTTAGAAGTGCATATTTCGAGCTCGGCGTTGCGCATTCCGTTCCATTTTATTACTTTTTTACTATTTATTTTTTAGGACCTCCAAACCCTTTTGAGTCTAAAAATTAATCAAAATCGTGGTTTTTTTTTTTTTTTTTAACTTTTTAGACCACGCTTACAGGTCGAAAAAAAGTTCGTCTAAAAATTCTCGCAGTAGAGCTAGGTCAATCAATGTGTCGGCGATACACTTGATGGCATCCTGAGAGCCACGAAATACGGCTAAGGGGGCGATGGTCTCAGCGATCTTCTTTTAAGGGGAAGATATACAATTCCCTTTTTTCGCACGAATCATTAGACGAAAACGTCTTCACTGAGGATTCCTCCATTCATCTGTAATTAACTGTTTATCGTTAGGTTGAACTCGCCATTTGGCAGAATAAGATGCAATTTATTCACAGCCTTAAACATTCCGGGATGATTTTATCAATTCCGGATTTCCCGTGGAAACAAATTGGGCATCTAGTCGACTGATAGCTTTAAGTTCTCTCGTTTCTGGATTATCTCTCTATACATTGCACAACGCCGCAGTTTTGATCCAGATTTTATCCGTACAAACAAAGCCAGTTATGACCCGCACTGGAAAAAAAAGTCGCTTGGATCTAGAGTCCAGACTCTTAATAACATTGACAAGAAAAAATATTCTTGATTTAATCAGATTTTCCTTTGAATCGAGGAGCCCCGAGCCTCTTAATTTAGGCGGATTTCCTTTTGATTCAAGCAAACAGGCCGATTGAATTAAGAGGTTTTTCTTCTTGTCAATGTTTTTAAGAGTCTAGACACTAGATCCAAGCGACTTTTTCTTTCCAGTGCTTGACATAATTATGAACGAATTGCAGGGGAAGCGGACGACACAAGCCAAAATTATGTCATGTACACCGTAATGTATGAGGTTTTATCTTCAGATAAAGTGCAAAAATACATCCAAATGAAAGATGCGGCAAAACGTTTTCCTCCATTGGAAGGCATTGTGTAAATAATCGATTGTAGGTGAGCAGGTCTGGTTCAACAGATATTAACTGCCGAAGTGCGAGACCACGTAACTCCGTTTACGACGTTGCAGACTTCCTGCCATACTTTATTTTTTCTCCGGAAAACTACTCAACGTAATTTCTTGCAGACTGTTTGGATTTTTCCTCTCTATTAGCGAAATATTCTGTATGATTTTCAAGCTATAAAGTTGGTGGGTTCCCTTCGAAAAAATAACATGTGAGCGGATTGGAGATGTTGCATGTGTGAGGAATTTGCGATTTGACTATTGATTCTTATGTAAAAGTTCGCGAAAAACTCAATGTGGCCACTGGTTGTCTCTGAAATTAACTCCCAAACTCAAAATAAGCTCTCAAGTTGAGGCCAAAATGGAGGGGATATCCCACGCTATCCTGAGAGTCCACCTCTACATCAAAACAAACTCCCCATGCAAAGATAGGGAGCAAATACATTGACAGGGTTGCCACTTTACTTGGGGACTCCAAAACTGAAAGCACGGCAACCCTGCTAATGTATTTGCTCCTTATCTTTGAATGGGGAGTTTGTTTTGATGTAGAGGTGGACTCTCAGGATAGCGTGAGATATCCCCTCCATTTTGGCCTCACTTTGAGAGCTTTTTTTGAGCTTGGGAGATGATTTCAGAGAAAACCAGTGGCACCATCGTGTCTCTCGCGAACTTTTGCAAAGGAATCAATAGTCAAATCGCAAATTCCTCACACATGCAACATCTCCATTCCTGAAACACCGCAATAAAGATACGTGGTTTTGCACTTTGGCCATCGATGTGCATTTATTTGGATAAAAGCAAACAAGGGACTTGGAGGACAAGGCGCACAAGTGCAGTTTTGGAAAAATTGAGATATAATAATTATTAAAAGTAAATCTAGTCTTGATGCATTTTCTGTGAAAAATTTGCCCCCAAAATCCAATTTTTAAGCGTCAAAAAGTCAGTTTGAAATTTCTTTCTGCCATAAGGATCTATGTAATCTCGAAACTTCTAACACGTATTTCTCGGAATGGCAAAAACTACACTTATGCGCCTTGTCTTCAAAGCACCTCAAATGTCACAAATCGTCGCTCCTCTGACGTAAAAGCGTATCTCTATAACCGCGTGAGCCATGAAAAGCATGGATTTATATGGAGAACAGGGCTCACGTGGAAATTGAGATACGCCCTTACGTCAGAGAAGCGACGAAATTTGTGAGCTCCGTCACGAAGAGCAAGAAATACCTAACAAAAGAACGTCACTGTACTTTAGAAAATTTACATGTTTGCTTTTACAGATTTTGATGAAGATTCTTCAAGACTTAACAAAAACATATACCTACATTCTTCATAATAAAACAATCACACGCTAGGAAATAAGTTGCCAGGCGGACTTAGCAACCTTGTGATAGAGCAGCTGTGCTGCTGAGTTACTGATACCAGAGCGCCTTCAAATGAGTGTATATGCAATACGGACATCCTGAGAGTACGAATAGTTGTATTCAGGCGTTTTAAGTAAACAACTTCAGAATTTCGCATTCGTGGACGATTCTACCGTGCTAAGGACGTGCTTGTCACTCTCCTCGGTATGGTTGTTGCCGATGCAGGGAAATGGAAGGCGAACTTCACATGGACGAAATCGGCCAAAAATTTGACGCATGATCTGTTAGCTTAGCAAAGTTTGAATGCACGTCAGCAGAAGTGCAAATTATTTTGGAGTTTCTTCAGTCCTTTCTTCGGTTTCACGCGAAAAATTTTGCGCGTGAAAGTGTGGAGACCTTCGCCGATTTTACGGAGGCTAGATTTTTCTTGCGAAAATTTGGAAGCCTTGCGGATTTTTTGGAAGCTGTTGAAACCCCGTACTTTGAAAATTAAAGTTAATTCGTAACTAAATTAATTATTTGAAATGATAATAAACACTTTTACATTGCGTCACCAATACTTAATTACGTTCAGTTTTTGTATGTATAACCTTCCTTCCTCGCTATAAACCCTCGACTAATTCCAGAATTGACAAAAAAATGATTCCTGATCGATTCCTGCCGAATCCTGATCCGACAAAAAAATTAAGGAAAAAAACAAGCTATCGGTTTTTGTGGAGGGGGCTCACAAAATTGAGGAAGCACTTGCCCAATTGTTTCGGAGACGAGGTAAAATTTTTCGAAGCATGGAATGGGCTCCCCTGATGCAAGTTCCTCAAATAGTTGATACCAACGAAAATATCCGTGCGCTCCGGAAGACATTTCAATCTATCCTTAAAACCCATCCTCGCGTTCCAAAAAAGTATGATAATTGGAAATTTCGTAATTAGGAGTTACAATGGAGATGTTGCATGTGTGAGGGATTTGCGATTTGACCATTGATTCTTATGCAAAAGTTTGCGAGAAACACGATGGTGCCACTAGTTTTCTCTGAAATCATCTCCCAAGCTCAAAAAAAGCTCTCAAGTTGAGGCCAAAGTGGAGGGCATATCCCACTCTACCCTGAGAGTCCACCTCTACATCAAAACAAACTCTCTATGCAAAGATAGGGAGCAAATACAGTAGCAGGGTTGCCGTGTTTTCAGTTTTGGAGTCCCCAAATAAAGTGGCAACCCTGCTAATGTATTTGCTCCCTATCTATGTATGGAGAGTTTGTTTTGATGTAGAGGTGGACTCTCAGGGTAGGGTGGGATATCCCCTCCATTTTGGCCTTTGAGAGCTTTTTTTGAGATTGGAATATGATTTCAGAGAAGACTAGTGGCACCATCTTGTTTCTTGCGAACTTTTACTTAAGAATCAATGGTCAAATCGCAAATCCCTCACACATGCAACATCTCCATTTCTGATCCACCCGCAAAGCACTGCAGCGTAAGCATGCACTTGTGTGCATAGGGAAAATTATAGTATTTACGTTGCTTCTAAAACGAACCAGAAATTGTAGTCCCTAATTGCAAAATGTAGTTCAACTGAGAGTTAAAAATGAGTACTTTTTACCAAACTCCTCTTGAGCGCTGTATAGGGTGATCTTGGGTTAAACGGCCAGACTGCGTAAGCGCGTTCTATGGGGCAAAATAAGACTTGATTGTTGTAAATTGAGATTTCGATTTTTTAGGTAATTTACGAGTTCAGGGCATAAAATTACAGGGGAGCACAAATTTTCATGAGATTTGGTCCACAACCGTTGCCAAAATTCAGGGAAAACGATTTCCTGACCGATTTTTTTTTTGGGGGGGGGCGTAGCTCCAACAGGGGGCACTTTGGGGAAAACCTTCAAACAACAAAAAAATCTTATTTTGACCTATAGAACACGCTCTTGCAGACTGGCCGTTTACCCCTGGATCACCCTGTATCCACGAAGCATTCTCTCACAATTGGACCGAGTTTATCAGAAAGGAACCAACCCACATTAAGTTGAAACTGAGAAAAACAGGCTTGAAGTTTCATTCCTGCAAAAGACTCGATGCAGAAAATGAACTTGAACCCCTCTCTTCACAAACTAATTTATTCCTACTTTCAGTTATTGGCAGGAGAAAATATACAACTAGTGTAACTCAAAAACTTTCTCAACTCGATTTTTTCGAAAATGTGGGTTGGTTCCTTCCTGATAAACTCGGTCCAATTAGCCAAAACGGACTACGAATTCTAGGCAACGAATGGAGCGGAATCAATGAAAGATACGCGGATCAATTTTGAAAAATTTCAAGTTGTTGATTCGCAACTTTCTCAGTCGAGAAAAATTCTCAGTCGAGACAAGACCTTCATTAACCGATCTCTTTTAGCGCTTCCTGTGGTCGGTCGCGCCAATTCAAAAAGGGAGAAAATTCCCGCGCGTTTTTCATTGGTTAGACCTTTTTGGCGCGAACGCTTTTGATTGGATGAAGCACTCAACCTTCGTTTTTAGCGCAAATTCTTTTGATTGGATAAAGCACTCAACTCTCATTTTTAGCGCGAATGCTTTTGATTGGATAAAGCATTCAATATTCATTTCCAGCGATATTTTGTACTGACTTGTTTTGCATGGGTACCTACAAATCGAACGTGCAAAATTTTAATAAGCAACGTTCCTGTCTGCATTTGATTCCTAGGATTTATTATGAGTATATAACGATAGTATTTTCGCTTCCTTTTAATTTTAAATTATTGCCTAATGCAAAGGACGATATTTTCTCTCACCACTGCTTGATAATGTTATGCACTTAACTGGTGTAATATTATTAAACTGTACCTGCTTATGAATGTTTTCCTCAGTAAGTTGTTCTATTCATCACCTGTGTGAAACTTTATCAGGTGGCAAAATTCTAAATTTCCGATCATGTTCTGGTTTTAAAAGAAAGTAAACAGACAGTTTCTACTAAAATTTTTCGTTAATTTTCTTTACTCATTCTATAAAAAATCTCACAAAATTCTAAGGAAAAATTTTGCTTAGTTTTCCCTGAAGGAGGAGGAAACGAAATTGGAGATTTTAACAGTGCAATTAAAAAAACGCATTTTTCGAATTTAGGTAGCTATTGGTGCTCAGTTGAAAGCATGCTTACTTTGCAAAAATCATGAGAACAAATGAAGGGTTTAAACCACAAAACTAGTTTTATGCAGTTGTACTGGAGTTTATTGCTCGACATTCATTGGTATTAATTAACATTACATCATAGAATTTAGTCTTTTGTTCCAAATACAGAGCTTCCAATTTGTTTTTTATTTTACAAAAACTTCCTATGGTAGAAGGTAAAAACTCTTATTCCACAAGGAACGCCAATAATAACTTTAACAAAATGAAAAAATCAACAGAAATAAAATTTTAATCGGTCAAAATAGACGGTTCCAGAGTTGCTGATAAAATATTACTGGGATCGTGCAATTTTTCCTGCCTTATGAAATAACCTTAACGCGCAATGAATTACAGATCATTCAACAACTCTGCTTTGAATCACAGTACTTGATTACTTTTTGGGAGGGCAACACAGAAAGAAAACCAACTTAGCCTACCGCAATAAAATAAAATAAAATCTACTAACACAAATAAACAATATAATCAAATGAGTTTTTGCACCATCTTAACAACACGAACACACGTTTTATTCTATTGCAACTCTGAGAGCTTCCATTCACGTTGCAAAAATTCAGCCATTGAATAAAAAAAGACTATGTGTGATCAAGATCAAAATACCATTAAATTTGAATAAACAGGGGCATTAAAAATGAAGAACTGGGTTATTTGTCCATAAAAGAGGGGCTGTGTGCAAAAGGATTCAATTTTCAATGGAAATGACAAAAGTAAACATGAAAGAAAGGGTTAAAAAAGGATAAAAAAGTTTGGATTTAAAATTTGGACTATTTATGAGGCATTTCAAAAAAGACTGAGCTAGCGCAACCTTCAAAACAGGCATATGGGTGGGTTCAGTTTTCACTACAAATAATACCCTGAGAGCGAAATACTTGACATAATAAAAATTCACAGCTTCTGTATTTCATTTTCAATGACAAAGAGACTTGACTTAGTTCCATAATGTGAATACTCAAATTGTGATGTACCACAGGAAAAGGAGTCTTGATGCGACAATAGTAAAATGAGCTTGTTCAGTAATTTTTGGTTATGTGGTACATTTTTGAAAATTAGAGAATGCACATAAAGCACACACATTTTTCAGGATTTTTCAACCTATAAAACCGATTTCAAAGTTAGATACTATGAACTCTTATTCAAACGCCCATTGTTTAGAGGACCAGGAAGGCAACAGCAACAGGTACACTTTAGACTGTGCAACCCCTCTGTTACTCTTTTGTGCCGGTCTGTGTAGTCGTGCTTTGATAACAGCTGTACGGGCCATTCATCCCTGCAAAGGAGTCGTACAGTCAAAATTGTGCGTGCAGCAGAAGGGCACATGGTCAAAATTATACCTGCAGCTAGAGGAATAATCTTGAATGCCATTTTGGTTTTCTCTACAGTTCCCGTTGAAATAGTAGGTCAGAATACAGAGCTTTGATTTTGTTTTCTGTGGGTTCCTAAAGTTCAAAAATATCTAGGAAAATGCGTGTGAACTAAGTACACGCACTAATTTTCAAAAATGCGATACTTTAAAATTGAAACAAAAAAATTAATTGAAAACAAGTAAAATTTAATTTGAACTCTGAACAAGCTCATTGAACATTTGACACTATTGCATAAAATTAATTCTTAAAACTTTTGGTGCAAAAGTCTGAAAAATATCAATTCCATCTGAAAAGGTGATGATTTACCTTTTCGCTTTCATAGAATGTGATTTTCCAAAAGTTTCACTCGGTGTATCTTTGTTATAATTATTGTCGTAAAAGTTTGCTACATTTCTATAAGTCTGATCTGACATTTAGAGCTGTAGATGTTACCTCCTGAGGAGTATGTCAAATTTTGAGCATGATTTAACCCTCTGTTGCATAGCAATGCATTAATTTTTCTGACTGATGATCCATTCCCAATTTTAAATAATAAAACTCCCACTATAAAACATCCAGCATTCTGATCAGTTTCTGTTTCAAGTCACTAACTCTGATTGAGTTACAGAGATAAGTTAAATTATTGTAGTATTTTCAAACATGAATTAAAAAAAGGTTTTTTGATAGCTCACTACAGAGTCGGCTAATGGCATTATCAAAAAATGTTGCAGATCAGCTTGCTAGAAGCATTCAAAGCCTTGATTGCCGAGTTTAAAACTACCATCTTTGCAGGAAATATAAATTTACACAAAAAAAAAGGAATAATAAAAACTCACACTAGAAGTCCTATATGATTAGAATTGCTTGCACTGAATTTCCATAGCTTCATTGGGACTGCATTCTGTAATAAGGAACTATTATTCCTGGTTCTGATAAAAGCAATTATCTGCATACAGAAACTGATAGCACATCGCACATATGTTGTTTCTGAGATGAACCAGAAACAATACTTCCTTATTGCAAAATGGAGTCCATTTTAAAGTGCATTACAGTTGCAAACAGTTGGACCGCATTTTGCAATAAGGAATTACTATTTCTAGCTCATCCAAAAAAGCACCTATCTGTATGGAGGAACTGATGGGAAATAAATTGTTTGTGAAAATAGCCAGAAATTGTAGTTCCTTGTTGCAAAATGTAGTCCAGTTAATGTAAAACCTACTAGTGAAGAAGAATAAGTAGATATCAAATGATGTGATTTTTCGACCTTCTAGTACACAACCAAGAATGATCTGTCAATGAGAGAGAGAAAGGTTTGTGATTTGGATCTCACGAATCATCGGATTCGTCCACTTTCTGACAAGCCTCAATGACGTACTTGTTGAACAGCTCGTATTTATCAGCATAAACGTGGTGGCCGGCTCCTTGCACCATCTGGAAAATCAAAGAAATAACACTTTCAAATTAAGAAAATAGAGGACCTTGACGCATGAGTTGCATACTGACCGTGAAACTGAAAAGGTGCGTCTCGATGGCTGAAGTACAAAACCACGTATCTCCATTGCGGTGTTTCAAAATTTCCGCTACTATTTTATTTTTAAGAAGAGAAAAATCTGAATTACTTGAAATCTATACAGAATACTCAGCTAACAGAGGAGAAAAATCAAAAAAGTTTTCAAGAAATCACGTTCACAATGTTTTTAAAAGAAAATGTAAAGTATGACAGAAATTCCGCAACATTGCCAACAGAGATATGTTGTTTTGCACTTTGGTTATTGATATCGTGATTCACTATGATGAGGACTTACAATCATACCTATTTTTATGAATAGAAAAATACTCAACATCAATTCTTGAAAACTATCCTGATTCTTCCTCTCTGTTTGAAGACTAGTATGTGAAAATTTCAAGCCACAATATTAATTCGTTATCCTTTGGAAAAATAGCAGAAAAATGCAAACAAGATATGCGTTCCTGCAGTTTTATCAATGCAAAGTATAATCACGTTTTAGTTCCTTATACTTCAGAACTCAAAATTAAGAGGAAAGTGTTAAAAAATTATATGAAAGCTACTGAGTCAGGGAAAAACACCCGATGAACATTCAAATCTTGCAATAGGCATAGGCCCTGTTTGAGCATCACCGTATCAGGGACTTATGGAAGGATAACAAATTGTTGAAAAAGGGGTATGTTCAAAAGGAGGATGGAGGGATGGTATTTAATTTAAAATGCTTTGAGGCAAAATTCCTGAGCGGCAATGGTTTAAAAGAGAACACCAGCAGTTAGGAAATGTAAAGCGCTAAAAAGCAACAAATATGTATATATAAATGTTGCACCAAAGTTTACTGTGGAATTAACTTACTTGTATATCAACATAGGCATCTTTGCTACGATTTTCACGTATCTTCTCACCGGGAGATTTATCAACCCAAGACCGGGAGCCATACAGTAATGTGATCGGCACGCTCTCTTTCAGGTCATCTACTCTTCTGATCATTGGGTTCTTCGCCCACCCAAAACCATCCATCATAGTGTGAAAAGCGCTCTCCCCACTGTAAGCAGACAGATTAATTTTAAAACTTTTTATCCAAAAAAGAAAACACTCAGTCACAATAAATACTATATTCTGGCACTTAAGATAGAAGATTGCATGTGACATTGGTGACACAAAAGAATTCAGAATTAATTCAGAGAGAAAAATTTATTGACATTTCCCTATGGGACCATTCATAGAAAAGGGGAGAAATGAGGAAAGCATTGCACCATTTTGGTTTTAAGTGATAAAGAATAGGGTCCTTCGCCACAAAAACATTACAAGGGTGGTCTAAAAATCCAAAATTTAGCGTTATTTATTTTGAAAGGGGTCTCTTGATTTCCTGGGCACATTTTGGTAATTGAGGATATACTGAATGGTTAAAAAGACATTATCTGACGTAATCTCCACCCAAAATTGAAATTCAAAACGTCAAACCCACTATAGAAAGCAAATGAGGGTGATTCAATAGTTCTACTGTGACACTTTAGTAAATTTTCTAGACATTTTAAAATTCCCTGACACTCCGGTTTTTGCTGACTGTGACAACTCTGTGACATGCACAGAGTGAAAAAACGACAGAAGTTCTGAAAAGAAATTGTCAAAACTAATATCAAGTATGATTCTCAGAGTAAAAAAAGAATAAACTTTACTGAAAAAAAACAGGGGGAAAAATAGCGGTCAAAATTGTAATCAGAGCACTGAATCATTCTCCATTGGTTTTAAATTTGCCAAAAATTGGGAATTATTCACTAAGTCTTATGAACCAAGAAACAATAATCGCCTTAATTATCAAAATCCAATTGCTGCACCGCAAAAATTATGTCTGATGAATAGTTTTTAGCTCTCAGACTGAATGTAAAGCTTTTGATGAAGAACGCACAAGGATTTTTAAAAAGAAGACTTACGTAGGACTTTGAGCATTACACTGAAAGATATAAGAGCTGACAACACTAGTATCCTCATCTTCTAGAATAGGAGCAAACTTTCGGCTAAGATCAGGGCGTACTTTCTGAATCAACCATGGACCTAGACCAGATCAAAATTAGTCAAATATTTACTTAAGATTGAAGGAAATAAATAATAGTTCATGGAATAACACTGATGGAGAGGAAAAAAATTATATTCTATTCAGAGAGTGAAAAGAACGTCAAGTTTGTATTAAAATTTTCCAGCGAAACGTGCATTTAAATCTCAACCCTCTATGGTATGAATTACTTTTGTATCTTGGATTCTGAGGGGACACAAAACTTGTAAAAATATGAGGACTTATCTGTAACAATAGTGGACGTGAAAAATTATCTTTTCAAAACACATTAAAAAAACTGTTTTGGCATCGAGAAAATTTTGAAAAAATACTTGAGATGTGATCTTTGAGATCTGTACTTTATGCCAGAGCCAAACATATTAAATTTTTGTGTGAACAAAACAGTTTTTTAAGCATGTTTTCAAAAGGTAATTTTTCACATCCGCTTTTTTTCTTTCTTTTTTTTCTTTTTTCTTCTTTTTTCTAAGAAAACACTGATAAAAATGTGCATCATCATGCCACAGAGGTACTTACCACAAAGTCTTAGGTACACGAATAAATTCTTTCCTCCCATGAAAATACAAGCTGCAAATCAACTAAGAGGGAGGAGGGTAAAAAAAAATTAGACAAATACATACCAAAGGGTCCTGCAAAGCGAACTGCCCAAAGAGGATTCAAAGGTTGCACCATAGAGGCAATCGCTCTAGCCCAGAGAGGAGCATTCCACTTTGGAGGATCTTTGGGTTTTTCAGGAAATCCCCATGGGTCTGCTAGAATCAGGTGTTTCACACTGAAAAAGAGAAACATGACAAAATAAATTAGAATGTTCTATTTTAATACAAACCTTAACATGGAAGTACACACCTCTTCTCAAAGGTTTACCCAAATCTAACATTCCAGATCATTAACATGGAATCATATAATAAAGGAAACGTACCACAGCAAACTTTGGAGACATTCTTTTGTCAATCTGAAGAGCTTTTTCGAACACAACCTCCAAACTTCGAGGAACTAATCGGGGGCTAAGAAACAATACTGCTCAGCTTACAATTTTGGTGGAAACGAGTTAGCAACTTTCCCACACTCGACAGTATTAACTATGCAAGCTGATGTTCTTAGTTTTTTTCTTATTTGCGAGGGAGCGCTGTAATGTAGGAAAAAATTGCAAACCTAACCTCAAAATTACAAAAATGGATAAGTTTTTTCTGCGTCCTGTAAAATTGTCAGTTTGTAGATAGAGGTGACGTCAGCTAAGTTGACAGTTATTAACTTTCGGTTTGCAAACGTTTTCGCGTCACTACTATCCACATGAAAACATCTGACTCTTGCAGAAGCAAGAACATAAGCTTAGATAAGTTTTGTAATACTTTCAAACCTTGTAACACTTAAATTTTTAGCCACACAAAAATTACAACCACATAAAAGTCGCGAATCATAACTGCTAAGTAGTTTCTTTACAATAAGATCATGAGACGGATGTTTTCAAGGTGGATAGTAGCTAACGCCGCTTTGTGCAGGGGCCAAAATCCATCATTGGCTCTTGCAAACCAAAAGAAACAACCGTCAACTTAGCTGACAACAGCTCTAAGCGGTATTGTTCTTTAGTCATCTTGATGCAGATAAAATCTTATAGTTGGTTTGAGTTATATTCTACAAAATCCGCACATTTGAAGCATAGGTATTGTTAATTAGTTCTGCAATAGCACAATGCTGCGCAAAATCTGAAAATTAGCAACTTTAAAACTATCTTCAATCATCTTTGAAGATCTTAACATTAGTAGGGACACCTAAGGTCCGTCATAATTACCATGTGGAGTTTTTGAAGGTTAAAAATGTAAAATTTAAGAGCCGAGTGGAAAGAATTTTAAATTTATTATAATCCTAGATTTTGAAATACCTATTAGAGGGAATAATCGAAACATTATAATACTCTGTGGATGAGTCTGCTTACTTGTCAGGATGTTTTATCGCGTAGGATGTTGCCAGAAAACCACCTAAACTGTGTCCGAGAAGGATTATTTTTTCCAGGCCCATTTCCTGTCTCCATTCTTCTACAGAGTTGACTAACTGTGTTTCTGCTACTTCAGCATTTGAACTGAAGGTTGGCCTTGAGCTCCTGCCAAAACCTTTGAAAAGTTAAAGATTTATTGCCATTAACACACCACAAGGAGACACTTGATTACATTACACAGTTCTATGACCAGGATTTGATGCTAAGTACACACAGAGACACATTTGACCTATTTCTTTGACAGGAGACATAATTTGACGAGAGACTCAAACAGCTTTCAAATATTCTCATCTTAAATGAAGCGTTTATTGGGAAGGAAGACGGTCTAAAAACTTATCAGCTCTAGCTTCTGTCAAAAATGTCCAGCAAAGCTCCTGCCTTTTTCACATAACATATCGACAGTGTAAGTCGGCAATCATATAACTCGGTTTGCGACAGCGCAGACTTTCTGTCATACTTTATTTTTTAAACAGAAAACTACTCAACGGCAATTCTTTAAGACTGCCGTGATTTTTCTTCTCTGTGCAAAGAAAATTCTGCGAAAGTTCTCCTTTAGAAAAATAACATAGAGGCGGAGATTTTCAGACACCGCAAACGAGATATGTAATATTGCGGACTTACACCGTCGATATGTTAATATTAATTGAATATGTTGACATGCAAAAAAAATGAAAGTTCAAATACCCATGCACAATTTTGGAACTTATAATCAACGGAATAGTCATAAAAAATATGACTTTTCTCAAATGCTAGATTGTCCGTAAATACAATTCAACAACAACATGTTTTAACAGTAGTAATCGAATGATCGAAAACTATATGTACATAGTGCTTTTTCCATGCATCCGAACAGTAGTTCATCAACTTAGAAATGATCCGGATTGCTTGCTTTTGAAGTTTATGACTGCCATGGAGGCATGATGAATTAATTCAAATACTTGTTTGAAAGAAGCGACATGTCAGTGAGCATATTTTAAGTATGAACTCCGCACCAAGAACTCAAAAAGTGTGCTGACTAATAAAATTAATCAATATTACCGAGAAGATCTATGGCGTAAACAGGTCGAGTAGCAGCCAAGGCATCTAAATTCAAACACCAGATTGCGACACCTCCTCCCAGACCATGCAACAAAACAATAGGGGTTTTCTTTGACTCCGTGTTCAGAGATATTGTCCAAATTTTATCTGACTTCCCCACAACAGATCCAATGTCCACATACCAGCCGCGGTACGGTGTTTTTAAACCTGGAAAGTAATAATGAGCATTCAGTCTGATGTACTAGGATGAAACATTGACAAAAATCTGAAAGAGGAAAGAAAACTAAAAATATTGCCGATAAGAAGAAGGTTGAAATTTACTTCATATTTTCCTTTTCTTTATGGCTATGTTGTTGTTAACAACAAACATGTCTTGTTTCGTTTGAAGTTAAAATAGAGTAACAATTTTAAAGTCAAACACTGTAAAATTCTAAAATTAATAATGAAAAATTGTAAGAAAAATTAACGAGTCAAATTAATATTTTAGATGATTCAAATATTCAGAGTTCATTAATTTCAGAATTGATTTCTGTCTTCTCTTATGAAGGGATGTTTTCCTTTTGAACGAAACAAAACTTTTTGGAGGTCTTTTCTTACAGCCAACTTTTGACAATGTAGAATGGATTAATGGGAAATTTCTCATCATGAAAGTATCTTCAGAACAATTAAGCAGCATTCAAAAGATGTTGCTATCAGTTGTGTGGCTTCCAAATTCAAGGGTCATGAAATTAAATTTTACACCTGAGTTAGAGAGTTAAAGCTTTAATACCGATAAACACTTACAAGATAAAATCTTTTTCTCAGCTGTCCTTAGGAGTGTGGATGACATTGGAGACCATGAAAACCAACCCCAAAACCAACTGGCACTGAAAATTTCAAAATAAAAAATTTCTTCTCAGAAACCATATACATATATAAGTACCTAGCTAAGTCATGAGATCCATATGAAAAAAAAAAATCACTTAATTACGTTTACATTGGTAACATGCATAAAAATTAATAAAGAAAGAGAAGGTTCAGTGGTTATGGTATAAATTACAACATTTAGATATTTTCTTTTCGAATTTCATACAGAAAATGTTGCGTACTTAAAAAAAAATGAAATGAAAATTAAATCTGTATAATAGATATTACTGAGTCGAAAGAATAATGATTAAATAAAAAAAGGGCTCAGATCTTACATTCTTCTGTGCTTTTTATTTCCCAATTGTTCATTAAGATAATGTTTTGTCTCTGTTAGGAGTTAATGTTTTTTTTTGACTGCCGTGCAAAAAGGAACAACAAAAACAAAAGGACATAACTTATACCAAAAAAAGGAGGCTGCATTCATCAGACTGGTATTAGAACTCGTTGATGCAATAAATGATGAGTTCATGAAATATTTCCAATTAGTGTAAGTGCAGATGGAGGATTACTTAGGTACAGTATGCTTTTTTGAGGTTCTGATATAGTTTACATTTTTATAGATCTCTGTATGGAGTTGAGTGATTTACTTTTTCATTTCTTTACGTAAAGTCAATCTGTGATTTGTAGCTGAATTTCTGTACCTACTTAGTGAGGTTTTGTAGGTAGATGTGTCAGCTGACACCCACCACACAAACTGTGCTCCTGATGGGGGCATGAGCAATTATGTTGAAGTGTGGTATAAATAAGAAGTAAATTGAACGGAATCACTTGATTAGTTAAGTTCCTTACGTTGCAATATCTAGCATGAAATTGAAGATGAAAACAATGTTTCCTTGAAACTTATTATCCAAGACTTGACTAGCAATCTCCATCCAACTGAATTATTCTGGAGCCATAAATTCAAAAATTGGTTTCTTAATGACAGGAGAAATGACATGAAATTTGACGAAGAGATTCAGAGATACAATTGAGAGGCTGCTTTCTGATAAGAGAATCAAGGATATCCAATAATCAAGATTCTCAAGGAACCAACTGTTACCTTAAGTGCATGCTTTTCATTCAGTTCAGCTTTAGAGAAAGAAATACATACAAATACTCTTGGTTGAGACATTGATTACTGTAAGAACGAAGCTATTACGGAAATGTAAAAATTCAAATACCTGTACGGCACAACTTGATCACTAGATCCAGCCATTGATCTGACAGGCGCATGAGAAAAAGCCGATAAGAGAATTAAAACCAGGACAGTCACAAAAAATGATACAAGCGCTACAGCTTCATGATCAGATAGACAGATGGGGTTTGTCTAAATTTTACAGCAACCTTAAAACTTTAGTCAAGACAAGTTTACGTGTTGACAAAATCACTTTGAAAACTTTGATGAACTTTCCTGCCAATCGCCCATTGCCACACGCAGCTTTATTAGCTCCTTTTGCAAAGGGAATTAAACTTTACAATACAAACGAGAGTTATTAGCAAAAACTAATTTAGCCTTGGCCTTGGTCAAGGAACTGAATCATGGAGATCAAAATGAAAGAAATAAGAGGCAAGAAATAACTGAAGATTTACTTTCAGACACTGGTCAAAAGTAAGAGCAAAAATTCACACACAAAAATAAATCCAAATCCACAGAGATAAAGATAATAATTGCTATCAACACTTGAAGAACGTCATGTAGCTGAATTATCTAAATTGGTGCAATTTTATCAGGAAGAGGCACTTGGATTTCAATTACCTGATATCCGCGAAATTTCCGTACCTCCGAACGAGTAGCAAAGGTCGACATCGGCAATGGTCGATTCGTGGCGAACGGTCAGAGGTCGATTCGCGAACGGTCATACGTCGATGCCCGAACGCACCGAACCAATCGAACCTAGTTCACCATTGTGCATTATATTTTACTGTTCATTTTATCGTTTGTTGCCAATGGAGCATTATGTATAGGCTGCTTGTCTTCGCCGTGGACGACACTAAAGACCTCTAAGTTTAAGTAGCTCTCTTAGCAGAACGAGAGCCATAATGGATCAGGAAATTCCATCAATGGTTGTAAATTAAACTAAATTTATGCTTCGTTTCTGACCCTTAAAGTAGATACCTAAGTAAACAGGTCTCGATTTTTAATTTGACCTCGACTGATGAGCAATAAAAGCCTAGCGTATTAATGTCTTCCTTTTCTTCATAAGAGAAAGGCTATGTCCAATAATAGACTTAATTGAAAATGAACTTTGGAGAAACGTTCTCCTCTTAATTTTGCACCATGATTTGAAGAGAGAGGTCTTCAGGATTTTTCCATTCTGATACTTGGAGGGAATTTAAGTTTTTTTAATATATTTTCTAATAAGACCCAGCTGGGGCGCTAAGTGGCTTTTTTTATTTATTTTTATCTTTTACTATGATTAGACATACACATCAATGGTGAACCTAGAAAAATTTCCATTGTGCAAGGAATATGGATTGATAGCATCTCAGAATCGGTGCATTACATGCAATTTTTCTTCATGTACTGATCCGTTATGCTTCAAAATAGTAAAAAATTTAAGAACATCTGAAATGATGCAACTGCAGATAGGATTGTGGTTAAGTGATGTCACCTTCATTATGCATCCCCTTAAAATGGAAGGATTTATAAAATGAACTTCAAATTTCTTCAATGAAAGTGAAAAACTCTTATGAAGTTGCGTGTAAAAATCAATGTCTCATTTCTGTGTTTTCAGAAACAAGTCGCGGTGAAAATGCCTAATTTTTTTTTAATTTCATGGAAAATAAACTTGATTTTTCTCGTCTTTGAAAGTATCATGTCCTACCGCGATGTGCAAAAAGAATGCTCGATAGGTACCTATGTCATAACTTTTTCCATGTTTGAATTAAAATGTTCCGATTAGGACTAGTGTGAGAAGTTCCAGTTGTACTTCTTTGAGGCTGGGCCTCAGCCGGCTCTTTCACTTTTGCAGTCAAGTATACTTAGTGTTTCATCCTCTTATCTTTTTGTGTTCGTGTTTTCAGCACCCTGTCTCTCTTTAGTAGGGAGCCGAGGCACCCTTCTACACTGAGAAAAAGCTATGGTTTATAAACCTATTAGTGGTAAATATGGAACACCTATAATAGTCGTAAATAAACTAATGATTCTCGGTCTGTGAACCATACTAAGGTCTCTGTACCTAATTAAGGTACAGAGACCATAACTAAGGTATATGTGCTATTATTATATGTAGAGGTACTACTATTAGTGGTGTTCCATATTTACCTCTAATAGGTTTATAAGCCATAGTTTTTTCTCAGTGTATGACTCAGTCTTGTCACGTTACAGTATGAGGAACTGCGCAAAAGCAGATTGAAGCAAAGGAAACTGTGTCGGTAGTAAATTCTAGGTATCCTACATGAATGTATTTATTTCCAAGTAACTCCTGTGGGTAACAAAACGTTGGCTTCCACGTCAAGAATAAAGTTGTCAAAGTAGAGGCTTGAAAGCAACTTGCAATGAGGTAGATGTAAAGACCTGTGATATTAAAGCGTATTAAAGGTGATAAGGAACTTTACCATCGAAGAAATCTTCAGTCATGGCGACTATGACCATGGAGCAGAGACGTTTCCCTCGCTGTATAAGAAAATCTGCCATTAAAGTTTTTCAAGAACAAGAAAAGCTACAGTTTCATCTGCATTTTTATCAACTTGGTTCTCAAGAAACCTTCAATGATCAGACGCAATGATATGCTCCTTTGGCGTGGTAGCGAGTGGAGATAATCTATGAACTGCTGAAAGACTACTTTTTCCTCAAAAAGTGGATTTTTCCACCTACCTACGCGAAAGTCGTAGAATGTCCACTCAGTTAGGGCTCAGACTGAAAAAGAAATTAATTAGTTAATTTAAACTGACTCAAAAACACTTCCGGATTGAACAGCTTCGATTAACTTCCCACCGTTCCGACAATGAACAGCAGTGGCTAGGCAAGAAATTACTACATACTAAACAGACACACTGCCAAAAAAATAATTTATCCGACGACATGCGAAAATTTATTCAGTGAAAAATATTAGACATTCTTGACTATTAAATAGGTAGATGTACTATTACTATTACTAATGTCCTCAAAGTCAAAAGGGGTTAGTTTAATGAGAAACAATAACAAACTCGTCCGAACTCGCCCCGGCGAATGTTCATGACATTCGCGGCAGTTCGCGGAACCATTCGACCCGTTCGCTTCGAGTCGACGACTGCCCTTTTTTCGAATTCGACTTCTGCCGATGTCGACGATTGAACTCCGCTCGTACCTCCTTCGCTTTGTTTATAACCTCTATTGCCAAAGATTATGAAGCCATAGTGAAGCAAAAATATTCAACCAAAAATTATTGAAATAGTGATTAAATTGATAGAAATTAAAACTCTTGAAATTTAAGAGTCTTTCATGCAATTTTATCGCATTTTCGTGCCAAAATTTCACCTGAAAGCCAATCCAACTTCAGCTCCTTATCAATGTAAATATGTGATGTAATCATTTTGTAATCTTTGAAATACGTGCTTTTGTTTTCATTTCTTATCACTTGTCTGTCACTCAGTTATCACAATTTTAGTTATCAATTATTCAATGCAAAATTTAATCATTGTTTTTATAATTCGAACTCCTGCATAAGTTTTAAAAGCCTCTTTACATCCTCATGGAGTTTTATGTCAGTAATCTACATCTAATGCACTTTTGAATTGTCAAGTCTTTTTTTCTCCTCGCACATTTTCTCCAGTTGTGAAACAGGTGCAGAAGACATGACGTTTCTACCACTCATAAGTGAAATTCAGAAAATTGCTCTTTACGAAACCAAGAATGTAAGTCTTGCTCAGTTTTTCCCCAGGCTTCTCAATAATATCTTCCTTTTCTAGGTGTAACACCCTTCCACCATTTATTGAGCAATCATATTGAACTCCCTCTACCGTAAAATTCTATCATTCTTGTTTTGCAATTCATACTTACTCATACTCTCTCATTTTTGGACAATAGTGGGTCTATAGTCTTCAATATTATAGTTCATATTCAATATTATAATTGTAAACACACTGGACCTGTGATCTGAGGTCCAATGTAATGCACTCCAGAAAGATCGTCTGTGAAGGGCGTATTTTCATTTTTATTTCTGAAGATATCACAAAGTGGTGCTGCCAAAATCTGATTCCTAAATTAGCGAATATTCTATTTATGGGATAGGTATAATTTATAGTGTTTCAATTCCATGAACATGAAAAGTGATCCAGGTGAATGGTGGCGAGGACTTACTCGTCATAAATATATAGTTCTCTGGTAATCTCCTTTCGTGCTCCTTGTGGAAAATTCAATTTTTGTTATTTTTACTCCAAATAATTGTATTCACAGATGTACTTATTTTATGACTTTCAACTGTTTGATAGGATTTTTATCTTGTTGGATCAAACAACACTCAAACTAACTTCCGGGTGTTGAAACTTAGCCGAACTGTTGGCCAAGAATTGAGCGTCATCGATGATGGGATCATCTATTCTGAGGCGGAGGTTCGGTGGCTTGTCAGTGGTTCGGAAGGAGGTCATCGCTCCAGGTCCTCCAGCAGTAATGCCACTAAAGTACTGTCAGCTTTTGGGATTGTAGGTAAGCTCCTCTTGCTGACAAGCAACAGTTCAACGTGCACTTACCTCATTTAGAATGTTAATGGTAAGAGACAAATATGAGTAGCAACGGGTCAAGTTAAGTTTATAAGAGATATTACCGCACTTTTTCTCTGAGTTCAGACATTGGTACATCTCAAAAATTCGTAAAACTTATTGCCTAATGTAGTTCAATCATGACAGAAAATATTTAAAAGACTTAACGTGTTTCAACAATGTTCTTGCAGTCAAGAGTGATGTTTACATCTCTAGCTGCTTCATTCAATTTGATCCCTCATTTTTCAGGTTTCGTCAGATTTTTAGAAGGTTATTACTTGATATTGATTACTAAAAGGCGTTACGCAGCTGTAATCAGGCATCATATCATTTACAAAGTGGAAGATACTGCCATGGTTTACATTCCAAATGAGGCTGTCAGCCGTGCAAATAATCCAGATGAGCTCCGTTATCTGAAAATGTTCCAAAGTATCGACTTATCCAGCAACTTCTATTTCAGGTGATTTTTCAGTTTATTTGAATAGTGGTGTGAAGTCTACCTCCATCTGAGCAACTAGCGGAGAAAAATAATGACAGGACCCCCAAAAACAATTCTGGGGAGAATCTGGTGTATTTTGGGGATGTTTTTCAATAGAAGGGGTAGTTAATTGAGGGGTGGTTAATTTGAACTTCTGCCAAAAATGAAATTTTGTTCGTCAAAAGTATAATAATTTTATATCGATGGTGAAATTCCCAAACCGCTTCTCTTGATTGCGGTGTTTAAAAATCTCTGCTCCTGTTTTATGTTTTTGAAGAGGCACAAATCAACATCATCCTTTGAAATTTTCACAGAATTTTCTTCGGATAGAGGGAAAAAAATACGGTTGTTTCAAGAACGTACATTGAGTAGTTTTCTATTCTGAAAATAAAGTGTGACAGGAAGCCTGCAATGTCGCTTACCGAGTCAGATATGCGGTTTGTGAGTTTTACCCTCGATACCTGCTTTCTGTCATTATAAAATATGGAGAATTTTTCTCAGGCAACGTTCTCTCTAAGACAACAATGTATTAATTTGAAAAAAAAATTTTCTTCACTTTTTTAAAAAAAATTTAATTTTTCTTTGGGTACCTATTTTCATATAAATTCCTTGTTTCAGGTGTTTGCTCGATAAAAACTAAATCTTCAGAGGGTACCAATTTGAAAAACTGAGTGAAAGGTTAAGATTAAATCCCTATTTTTATCTTGAAATTATAAGTCTGGAGCTCTAAGGTAGAAACAAGGATTAATTTCACTGGCTGCGATTAAATACAAGCTTTAACTTGAGTGTATTATTTTTATTTTACAGTTACAGTTATGACATCACTCACACATTGCAGATTAACATGGCTGTGCCAAGGAATATTCCTAGAGCATCAACATCACTCAAATCAAATAGTAAACAAAGTGATTCCAGAGGTAACTTTAATTTATAATCCAATTCAATTTTAATGTTTGATTGATTAGCATTTCTATTTGGACGTATTTCTGTCAAACAGAACTAAGCACCATAGGGGGAGGAAGGTAGAGGGAGGCTTGGATTGGCGGCGGAACCGGGCGTCGGGCTCATTCCGTCCTATAGTCGCAATGCTTTTCCATGGTGCTTAGTTCCGTTTGACAGAACGCGCTATCCGGCACTCTAATTTCCTCAAAAGGAACTCAAATTGGCGCTTAGTTCCGTTTGACAGAAATACGTCCATTTATTTTTTGGACTATTAAAAAATTCTCTTAAAAATAAAACGCATGCCTCATCTAATGTGAGCATATTAGAACAAATATCATGGTGAAAGTACTCACGACCAATTTCTAAAAAAATGTATTAATATTAATACCTATAAAATATATCTTTTTATTCTGTTTTTCAGAACAACAGGACTTTATAGATCAACATCCTAAAGAAAATCTGAATCTATCGTAAGTGGTGTTTTATCTAATTTTACTTTTTCTAAATTATGATGTGGTATTTTATCGGACCATTTTAAAATGAATAGAAGTTCTTCATAAATTGGCAAGTGATCAGTGAGAGTTTTTAATTATTATCTTTGGGAATGTGAACAGGATAAATAAATGCTTTATTCTCCATCCATCATTGCCAAAAAATGCTTTCCAACAAATGCTCTCCATCTTATCGTATTAAATTTTACTAAAGCTAGTCTTCATGACAGTTGTAAAGTTTTATGAGTTATTCATGCACACTCATGCAAAAGGGCTCTGATATTTGAATCTTCTAACCATGTGAAAATTTCAGTAGTTTCCCTGTAAGTTCCCACGATCAAAGTTTGAAATTGCTTTTAAGGATTTTTAACAGTTTCTGAGATAGTTCATCTACTTAAGTTAGGTATCTCTCATCTCTCTCTGGTCATGCCTGATTGCTGGCAACCGCAAGGAAAGTGCTTGCAGACAGGGTAAATTTCATAATGCGCAGTTTTGGCTTTTGATGGCAATTATCGAGAAAAAATCAATTTAATTTTGACAAGGAAGTCGATTTTCTCGATCCTTGTGGTGATAACTCGCTACAAACAACATTAGTTTAAACACAATTTTCAAACTTTAGACCAAAATATAACCGAAGTTTGATTTGTATCGTTTGCCGGATTTAATTGTTTACCAGTTCAGAAAATTGATCCTGATTTTAAATTGACCCCAAAAAATTGATGCAATTTTCTGGATTACTTTTTCTGATCAATTGATGTATCAAAAAGATCGATTTGAAATCGCTAACTTTGATTTGGACCATGGAAAATCTATATTTAGGAGTGGATTTTAGACATCTCTCAAGTACTCAAAATAATTTACAAGCAATTTTACTCAGAAAAATGTGAGCTCTCAGTTGCCTGTACCTCTTATGTGCAACTGACCCATTGTGCATAGCCTCATAAATGGAACTCTTTATTTTTTCATCAACAGCAAGGAGGAGGAAGTTGTGTACGGAGTACGGAATGAACCTAATCGCAGATTTGTATGGAACTCATACCTTTTGTCTCAGACGGAGAGTAAACTCAATCCAAATTGGGTCCTGTACATAATGCATGGGTTTATAAGCCAATCAAATATTTGCATTTATGGCCGTTCCATTTACGTTACTGTCATCGCACGTAGGTCAAATAAGTATGCTGGAACAAGGTTTTTAAAACGAGGAGCTAATTTTGAAGTGAGTATGAATCAGACACTTTAGTGCAAAAAAAAAGTCTATATTTGTTGGGAGGTTTAAGGAATAGCTCATCTGTTCAAGAATTGAATTTTTATAATTGGGGTTTGGAGGCTAAGTTTGGTCGCCTTTGAGATTTTACTTAAAATCCTCCCGTTTGATTATTATTTATTTGAGAAAGAGTTTCCAAACTTTATCTAAAATCCCTCTATTTCTCACAACTATTCTTAAGCTAAGCAGTTATCAGCGAGAAGTTTAGAATGGAGAATTTGCACGCAAATTTTTTATTACTGCATCTGAAAGTGATTTTTCAGTCTTTTTTGTAATTTTTTTCGGCTATATGGGAAATAGTATAAAAATATATTTAAAAGTGAGAAAATGCGCCGCCTAGTGATGGCATTTCCCATTTAAATGCATGTATTTTAGCAGATAAGATCATTTTGTCATATCTCCTTCAATAATTGTTCAATTTATGAACCAAGAGTATCCTCGTGTTTAGCTCACTTGGTAGCATCTATTCGAACAAGGAGTTCATCAAATTTCAGACACCTGCAAATTCTCCATTTACAGCAACAAATTGGGTTATTGTAAATCATAGAGAGTGGAGTCTCCAATATTTGATAGTCTAATTTCTGCCCTTCTTTTATTTTTAATGCATCTCATTTTGTCAGGGTGACGTAGCAAATGAAGTAGAGACTGAGCAAATAGTTCATGATGTTGGTGGAACTTCACAAAACAAAGTTCGAATAACGTCTTTTGTGCAAATGAGAGGGTCCATTCCTGCCCATTGGAGTCAGGACATCAGTAAAATGGTTCCGAAGCCTACCATTTACTTCGATCTTGGTGACCCATACTTCGAGACGGCCGGTAAGAATCACGCCGATTTTAAAACCTCCATTCATCTATCAAAAATTGCTACTTTTTGACAAGACTACAAATTTGTATTTGCTGAATTTAGAATCATGGTTAGAGTTGATAGTAGCATAATTTCTTTTCCTCCTGAATCACTCGCTGGAGTAGTTTGGTTCAGCCTTCTCTCAGAGCATTAATCAGAAAGTGTATGGAAACATCCATACTGTCAAGCTAACGGAAAACGCTGTATGAAAATTCGGACATCGCTAAATTTTTTCTGTCAAGATATTGAGTTTTGAGAAAAGTTATGAATATTGACGCTAGTTATGAATATGCTTTATTTGACGCTAGGAGACTCTGGGTTTTCTGTGAGTGGTAAGTGGGAGGTAACGTAGACAAAAACCGTTATTTTCCAACATGAGTTAAATTTGGAAAGTCTTATTGTCCATCGTAATCTACATAGAATTTTGATGAAATAACATCTATGTGCTATATATGTGCTTAATTTTGGACCCTGTCTAGTGGTCCATCATTCCCACCCCCAAAAGTGGAGGTCATAGGGTAGGGTAGGGAGGAAAATTTTTCAGGAGACCAGTTTATCTAAAGTTAGGTCAAAAAATCCTATTTTGAGTTTTAGATAGAGAATGCACCATATTATCCTTAATTTTAGTTCGCCAGTTGTATATTTTATTTGTGATCAAGTAAAGTGCTTGAAATTTTAAACCACTCTACAATTTTCACTTCTGAAAATGCTGGATGAAACCTTTAAATAATATTCCCTTGTAACTATATTCGTTGAACTGTATCAGTGCAGACGCAGAGAACGAAAAATTCAAGATCTCCAGTAATAAACAGGAATTAAAATGTGTTAAGTTTGTTTTCAATTTTAGTCAAAGCGCTCTTTCTTTCGTTTTTCTTATTTGGAGTGCACTGATTCTTTTATCAATTTTTGTATTATGTCCCTTCTACCCTAGTGTGAACCTCTCTTGAGCATTGAATCGGAAAAAAAAACATCCCAAAGGCTCCATGAGAGGCCAAGAGACTTTTTTCATCAGTCTTGTAAAATGGATGTACCTACTATTCCATTTCATCGTCTCATATTAACTAATAATAAATTTTAATTTTTTAGGTGCTCATTTCAACGATTTGCTGAAAAGATACGGCTCTCCAACCATAATCCTGAACTTAGTGAAAACAAAGGAGAAAAAGAAACACGAATCACAGTTAAGTGAGGTTATCAATGGAGCCGTAAAATATTTGAATCTAATGTTGCCGCCAGAGCATCGAATTCAGTATGTCACTTTTGATATGGCTCGAATGAATAAAGGGTGAGTATGCCGGCGCTTTCTCCTTGAGTGAAAATTTTTGCATGTATGGTATCCTTCTTTTTCTCAAATTTTTACTGATGCACTGATAGTTTCATTATATAAGGTGGCAAGTTCAAAAAAACTTGCTTATTTATATTGTGTTGATTTATACAGGGTGGGCCAGAAGTTCCAGGACGGTCGGCTAACTTTTGAACGGTTCGAGATAGAAAAATGAAACTTTGGGAATGTTCTTATCTCAAAGGAGACCATCTTTTGGGGGAGTCAAAATTTTGGTCCCCCCTAAGGGAGGGGGCGGGGGGCCCCCAACTTTTTTTTTTCAAATGGCAACCCCTATCTTGTGATAACTCATTCGAAAGACCATGAAAAACTAAGAATTTTGGCGCAAACCGCAGATCAATATCTTAATTTTTGACCGAGTTATGATAGGATCAAAGGTCAAATTTGACCTATTTTCAAAAAATCACAACTCCGGTTCAAATTATCGTAAAGAAAAAAATAAAACGGGAAAATTTACTAATTGTGTTCGCTTTTTTGTAAACATTGCAGAAATCACTTCGAACTAATTTTAAGGGGGGATTCGGACCTCCAAATACGTCAATTCAAAGGTCATTCAATTTTCCCGCGAAATAAGCCAATTTCACCTAGATTTGCCTCCACATTATCTCAGTAAGGTCAAAATCAGTTCAACATTACGTTGGGCAAGTCCCCAAATTTCAGGAAAAGTTAAAAAAACGCAATTTAAGGTAATTAAATTTGACCGATTAAATTGGTTTTTTTTTTACTTTTCCTGAAATTTGGGGACTTGCCCAACGTAATGTTGAACTGATTTTGACCTTACTGAGATAATGTGGAGGCAAATCTAGGTGAAATTGGCTTATTTCGCGGGAAAATTGAATGACCTTTGAATTGACGTATTTGGAGGTCCGAATCCCCCCTTAAAATTAGTTCGAAGTGATTTCTGCAATGTTTACAAAAAAGCGAACACAATTAGTAAATTTTCCCGTTTTATTTTTTTCTTTACGATAATTTGAACCGGAGTTGTGATTTTTTGAAAATAGGTCAAATTTGACCTTTGATCCTATCATAACTCGGTCAAAAATTAAGATATTGATCTGCGGTTTGCGCCAAAATTCTTAGTTTTTCATGGTCTTTCGAATGAGTTATCACAAGATAGGGGTTGCCATTTGAAAAAAAAAAGTTGGGGGCCCCCCGCCCCCTCCCTTAGGGGGGACCAAAATTTTGACTCCCCCAAAAGATGGTCTCCTTTGAGATAAGAACATTCCCAAAGTTTTATTTTTCTATCTCGAACCGTTCAAAAGTTAGCCGACCGTCCTGGAACTTCTGGCCCACCCTGTATATTCATTTTTAGGAGCAGTAAGTGAGTTCACAGCCTCAGCTTACAAATTATGTGGCAGTCATTCTAGGGATAATTTTTTCTAATCTGTAATAATTCCATACTTTTTCTCGACCTTTAATGCTAGGAACCAACTGCACAAATTTAACAACTGTTGGGTCTATGTGTGAATTTTTCTGTTCATCTTTTGTTCGCTTTGAAACGAGAATAAAATTTTTTTAAATAAATGAATAAACACAAGTTCAAACTAATCTGATGTGCATTCCTTGGATTTTCTTCCAGGAAGGAAGCAAACGTGATGGGTCGACTAGCTGACATTGCCCACGAGCTCATCCGGAAAACAGGGATATATTGTAGTGATCTTCCATACGCAAATCAGAAGATGTCAACCGTTTTAGGTTTTGAGTCTTTTGCTCTGAATGGGAAGTGTCTTCTCCAGACAGGCATTATTAGGGTGAATTGCGTTGATTGCCTTGACAGAACCAACACAGCCCAGTTTGCTCTTGGTAAATGTGCTCTTGGATATCAGGTAGGATTTTTCTCTCATTTCGCAACATTTAAAAATTTTAGAAATTATATCCTGACGTGTTCAGCACTGAAAATATTTTTGTAAAGTATAAGTTGGGACGTTATGTGCCATGGAAGATTCTTTTTAGAATAAGTACCTTTTTTTAAGTATCAAAGGTCTTAAAATGAAAAATATGCGAACATTCAAGTAATTTTGCTAGGTGTCAAACCATGTGTAATTACAATGAATTCCCTATTTTCGACACTAAATTTTTTAGCTAGAAGCCTTACAGAGCTTTTCTTGCTCAAAAACGGTGAATCTAATCTTTAAATATGTATTTTATGCACTTTGATTTATAGTGTCTGTTGAGACTAACGCAGAATTTTTTGAAAGTAACAGATTTATCTGCAGAAAATACGCAGATGTCTCCAACGGTTACCAAATTTTAAGGTCATGTTACGTATAAATAAAATCAGTCTCCAGGGTAATTTTACTGATCAATAACTCAGCACCATTAGCAAAGCTTTGATCGATATTTTGGGTTGCTACTGTCAGTAGAAACAGTGAAAAGTCAGGGGAAATGACAAAAGTGTCAGAGAAGTACTCTTTAAATCTCCTTTATTTGCTTTGCTTTGCTGGAATTAGTTGACGTTTCGAGCAACTGATTTCGCTTGGAATGTCTTTCAAATTGTGTCTCTTTAACCATCTTTCATGTACGCAAATGTGACAGAAGTTTACCAAAAATGTGTCAGGGAAATTAGAAAAATGTCCGCGAATTTCATTTTCTGAATTCTGTAGCAACCCTGCATAACTTTTGAATTCTTGAGCCCCTAAGTTTGATCATCCATTCTTGAGACAAAAATGTATTTATTTTTTGGGGATCCAGTTTTTTTGCAAGTAGTCCTTGTAAATTTCAAACAACATTTTGAATCATGGCAACTTAATCAGATAAAATGAAGGGATTCTTCATAACTATCCCTCTCACAGATCACCTAATCATTTGAAAGACAAAAGAGATGATACCAAAATAAATTAAAAAAGTATGGATGCGTGGCCTCCAAAGTCAATAATGAATCTTTATTCTGTTATTATTATCGGATATCATCACTGAAGTGTCTCTCTGTTCATTGGGTGTTCATAGCTCTGTGCTCTTGGAGTCTTGTCAAAACCAGTGTTAGATTTTGACAGTGACTGCGTTCGTCTATTGGAGGCCTTGTATGAAGACCACGGTGACACTTTGGCGCTCCAGTATGGTGGTTCACAGTTGGTTCATCGGATCAAAACTTACCGCAAGACTGCTCCATGGACCTCGCAAGGAAACGACATCATGCAAACGCTAAGTAGATACTACAGCAACACGTTTTCAGGTTTGTCAACTTTCATTTGAATAATCTAGTTTAGAAGCAAAATCACCCGGCATGTGCACCATAGCTTGAAGCAAAGTAAGATTACAGATCTGTTCAAAACTTTTTTTTTAAAAAAAATAGTATTATTTGTAATTTTTGAAATCGCAACTAAATTGTGTAAAAGATAATATATCAGGGTCCAACCCCAATCAGACACAGGGTCAAATAATTTTTTTATTTTTTTTTTAATTTAATTTTTTACTCTGATTTCTCAATAAACTTGACAATTGACATGCTATTACGGGATTGGGAGGGAGGCTTTCACCGGGAGCGGTGAGCGGTCGATGGACCTATGCGGTGCGTAGCGCAAGAGGGAGGAATTCCTGGACGATCTTTCGGTGATTTTTTGGCGCGCTTAGAGCTTATTTCAGAGAGCACACATATGAATAAAACCTCTAGAAATGGAATTGCTCGTTTGTTAAGTTGGAGAAATGCACTAACAGGCCTATTTTTTAACATTGCCGAGTGATGATGTTTTATTTCTTATGTCTGTGTAGATGCTGAGAAGCAGCATGCCATGAATTTGTTTTTGGGTTTGTTTGTTCCGCAACCTGGGACTCCTCCAATTTGGGAAAACGCAACCGACTATTATCTCCATCACCCGGAGGCCGTCGGAAATTTCAAGAGAAAAAAGTAAGTTCCTTGATTGATTTCATCCTGGGCATGAGGCCTCAGCTTGTTTGTGAATGGCTTTACTCCATCAGATGTTTTTGTGAAACTAGCCGCCACAAAGAATTGTTTATTGCAAAGAAAACTTGTTTCAGTATCCTGAGGAAGAAATGAAGTAAAATTGATGAATGAACAAGGTATAAGACCCCTAAGATGGACAGTCGAGTTTTTCTGTTGTGACCAAATTTAAGGAAGTCAGAATTAATTACCGATTTTCTATCACCATGATTAATTGTCCAAAAATTCTGTCGGAAAGTAGCCTGAAGGATGGGCAGAAATTCAGTTCCTTCGAATTAGCTTGCTCTTATCAAACGGTAATTTGAGTAAATTTTAAAGGCCGTCATAAATGAAACAGTTTTGATCCTTGTCAAAATCAAGTTTGGGGTCATTCTGAATCCACTGTGTTGGGCCATGCCAACATCAACCAAACGTTCTCCCCCTTTCTTAAAAATTCTCAATTTTCTTCAAATTGATGCTTTTAAGGTAATAGATTAACCCCCCCCCCCCTCTATTGTCACCCAATGAAACCTTCAAAACTTTTTGAAAAAATTTTCGATTGGTGGTTTGACGTAAGAATGTGATAACATAGGTGACGATTAATTAAAGGAAAAATTAGCTAACTATTTCAAAATCGGTGGTAACCTTTGCTCTGATGATCATGACACATAAAAAACTCCCGAAAAGAACCAGTCTATTTCATAAAATTCTCAATTTTTCTTGATAATTTCATTTCCAGTCCTCTTCACCTTGTTTTCCAGGTTACCACACTAGCAATCATCCTGTTTTCGATAAATGACAAGAATTCCTATAATCTTTTTTTTCCCTTCTTTTTTCAGGTCTCCATTGACACAGTGGTGGGATGCTGAAGTCCTAGAGAGCTTACCACTGGCCCTGAATCAGACTAAAAAACAATGTGTTGACATTGTGCCTGGTGTAAAAAAAGACTTGGAGACTATCGATGGCTACAAGCAGTTTTACCGATCGTCAGAATTTACTGAACTAAATGAAACTTTTGCGTTCATGATTAGCCATTCAGTCAGGTACAAGTCCATATTCTCTACCACCAAAAGGCATGAATTGAATATCCTTTAGTTTTTTATAATCTTTAGACTTGAGACAATGTCCTCAACTCCTTCATTTTCCAAAAGCTGAAAGTAATTTTTCCTTCATCCTTTGTTCTATCTGACATAATTTTCAAATTGGAATATTGATGGCCAATGACGAAAAATGCGAATTTCGATTGCAATTTCCAAAAATTTCCAATAGAGTTATATTTCCCTCAGGGAAAATGAATAAAAATGTTCCTTTACAATTTTTTTTTTTTTTTTTTTTTTTTTTTTTTTTTTTTGTAAGAGGGAGTGAAGAAAATTCAGAGAAAATTTTGAGAAAAACCGTTTTTATAAAATATCAAGCATGCCTTTTGATTCCACATGGTTATTTCATGAAGAAGAAAAGGCTAAATAATACTACTATCTGGTGAAAATTACAACCATCCGGAGTTAAATATTAGTAAAAAAATCCCGAGTAATACAGCGCAAACCAATAATTTAGTTTGCAGAGAAAAGGTGGAGGGGAGTAAGGAAGTTATCAGCGCTTGAAAAATCTATGCAAGGCTTTGGTTCTGTTTTCCCCCTCAACCTGTACAATACTTATTTTTGGCTACTTTACCGAGGGCTAAATTTTTAGGCACAGGAATGTTGATCTAGAAAAGAGTAATAAACAACAACCCTGTATCTTTTTCAAAAAGGTAAAGATAAATGATTTGACGCTAGTGACTGAGCAATAGATAAAACATTGAAGCAGGTGTAAATCTTAATTTACTTGCAGGGATTTTATGCCACATTGCGTGACAGACTACAGCCCATTTAGAGTCAGGATCAGGCCTGGACGCATGCGAGAAGAGACAGCCAGCAGAGCTAACACAAATATGAAGAACCCCTCATTGACGGGGCATTGTTCAACCGGATCGACTGCGTCCAGCTCCAGGTGAGACTCTAAGAGATGACTTTATGTGTCCCAGCCAAACGAGTATGACTCGAATGGAAAATCAAATTTTAGGAGAAAGGGTTTTGAAGAGTTGCTACATACTTTTATTATAATGTACGTCAAAGTAATGTTTAAACCTGTGACATTGACAGAAACTAAGGCATCTACATAAGGCTGAAAAAAATGAAGAGTCGGGAAAAACACCATCCTGTTGGGGAAGTTTTTCCTCTTGGGAATTCAATGTTCCCTGCATGCATACAGCAAAAAAGCACAAGATATCTGAAACGGCTATACTTCTTTTTTTCTTAATTTTTTTACAGCTTCTAGAATAAAGATTGTACCTAGAACATTGAAACTTCAGAAAGAGAAAATGTAAAACTTCATGAATGTATTTAAAATCAACTGAAGTTACTTCTAATTTTTGGAGAGTAGTAGTAGATTATTGGTAGAAAAAGTTCAGGTATCTTCGTCATTTCAGTTTGGGGGACCTAAAAAATTCAGGAAACTGATTTGCTGAGTTTTGGAGTTACCCCAGAAACTTGCTTATGGTATAAAAACAGGAAATCAATGTGCTAAGAGTTTGAAGTAATCAAGAATGAGCTGAAGAACGACTGACTTGTAAAAATAATCTATTAAATGAAAAGTTTTATTAAAAAAGGTTGCTGGGAGAATATTTCTCGCTTCTATTATAATCCTAATTTCATAAATTGTATAAGAAACTACCTACGGTTTTGCAAATCTTTCTCTCATAACATTAAATTTAATCTATCTAATTCCATGATTTTGTATTCCCAGTGGCAGTGAGGAAAGTGATAATGAAGATGTAATCACACGGAACAGTGACTCACAATGTTCGATGTCAAAGGAAAACTTGATCACTTTTGAGAGCTTATTCCCAACTATGAAACAAGTCTATGGAATTGACTGCACTGAACCAAACAAAGCTGACAAGCTGATGTATAAAAGGTAATGTTAATTCAAAGAACTTAACTTTTTCTTGTGAACAACCACAGATAACAATCAAACTGTAAAGAGAATACATGAGTTTTAATTACCATCTTCAATGTCACCTTATTAGTTTTCTAATTTTTCTTCAATTTGAAAATTTCTTGATTTTATGAGGAATAAGGATTTTACGCATGAAAGTTCTTTCCATGAGCCATTTTTACAGGGTGACAACTAATGACACGTTTTCTTGGATTTTTAAATTCCCTGAATTTTTCAACGTTTTCTCTGGAGACGAATTCTGATGTAACTGCTTCACACAATAAATTTTATTGCAAAGACTCTAGATACTGAAAATAATCAAGCATTTTGGCGGAAAAATCGGAAAGATTTTAAGGTTTTGTAGCTGAATCCCAAACTTTTCAGGGTTGAGCAAAATTCCCTGACATTTTCAAATTTCCAATTACTTTCAAAGTAATTGTCACCCTTGAACTTAGTAGGAAATGTGAGCTCACCTTGTTGAGCATATAGTTGCAAATGGAAATTAATTGACTTTTCGAGAAATTTCTGATTTTTCATGAATTTCTCACCCTGAACTTTTCAAAATCGGTGCACTTCAATCTCTGGCTTTATCACATTGAAAAGAAAAAAAAAAAACTCTGACTGAGAAAGCTGTACATACGGGCTGTAGAGACAAACCTTCCTTCCTGCGTTCAGAAGCCGAAAGTTCCGGGTGTAGCACTCATTGCTTCAACCACTGAACCTGGAGCAGTCAAAGCTACTGCTCCAGCTTTTAGAACTTTGGGCTCACAAAACTTGGAAAGGTTAGGTTTATATAGCCTGTAACTTTTCTTACAGTGCCGTACAAAAATTCTCTCTGGTGGTAAAATTTTCAAAATGTGTCTATAACCTCTCAATTTCCAATTGATCTTTCAGGTTTGTCTCAGTCGGGAGAATAGCAACCAAGAAACGATCAAGTGAGTTGGATCGTTTAAGCCAGCTTTTAACCCTCAGTCAGCAAAACCAAACATCGTTTAACTCAGATGACATTTACCATGTGACGCCCCCAGAAGTCTCAGCAGAGTCTATCCACATTTATGAAAATTATGTGAATCGCTCGATCTATGGTGCAGCAGATCCAGATCAACGAACTTTGAATAAGTACGAGGAATATGCCAAGTGTCAACTGGGATTGTTTTCTGTTGCAAGCTATGTTCAATGATATAGAATCTTCTGAAATTGTGGTGTATCCTTAAAAAACCCAGTTCAGGAGAAAGAAACTAAACCCTATCAAACAGAGAAAAGAACTGAGAAACAGAAGTTTAAAGTTTCATCCCTACACGAATCTCAGTTGCAGATAATGTTTAAATCATCTCTCTACATTCGAGGACTTTTCTCTGGACCTCCCGAATTCTTGATCGGAGAAAATGTCAGCTCTCAACTACTCCCAACTCATTCTTCCCAAAATTTCTCAGGTACCTTTTGGCTAAACTCTGCTGTATTAAGTTGAGCGAAAATGTCTATTCTGGTACCAAGGAGCTATAAAAATTTGGAGAAGAAAGACTTGTGCACTGAAATTCATTATTAATTGAACAACTGATTTAGCAGATATCATGTTACTTCTCTTGACTTTGAAGTCGCTCAGCAAAAACGATCTATCACCATCAATTATCTGAAATAAGGCCGTGAAGATCGAGTAAATTTCAAGATATATTTGTGCTAAGTTTTTCTTGGCTCTTTTCTTTGAAGAAAATTGTTTGAATCTTTGTTATAACTGTCCTTGTTTTTCCAGTGATAAGTGTTAATTTTTATAACTCTGGCTGTGATATGATGTAATAAAATTTGTATTTTTCCACTTTTCCTCTTTCATTTTCTTCCTTAAAAAAATTATTAGAGGAAAATTTTAATTTTCAAACAATGGGGGAAAATGGAGTAAAAATATCTAATCTATTAGATTTAGATAGAATTCCCGGACTTTTTTTGAACTTCTTTTTATTGTCTTACCCAATTTTCCAGCGCCACAGACACCTTGTGGAGGTGTGCAAGTTCAAATTATGAGATATACTTTATCTGGCTTAAAAAAAGCGATCTTTTAAAAAAAATATACCCAACATAGTGGCTAGAATAGTTTGATCGACAATCAAATTAAATGGACGCATTTCTGCCAAACGGAACTATGTGCATCATGACGTAAGCCCTGTTATACATTTATTCTTATGGGACGCAGGGCTCATGTCTTAATGTACATAATTCTGTTTGATAGAAATACGTCCAAATGACGCTAGACCAACCATCCTGATCCTAGTTAAGTGGTTCAATTCTATCAAAAACAGGGTTTTTATTCTTGCGGTCATGCTGATTACAGATTTTTGGATTTGGAAAAAATACACTATTTCATTTCTGGAGTGAAATAAAGGTCAGTTGTCAAAAATTAAAAATAATTTATTGAATAGAAACGAGAGAATAGGGCAATGCATTTATTTCTAACCACTGAGCAACCTTCATGTTTCCATCAGAAACGGCTTTCATCCAGCTGATCAATGTCGCTGAAATACTGTAGCAACACTGTAAGGGGTGGTTGCAATTCCGTAAAGTAAGGTTGTGACAACTCTGCTTTAAAGTAGCTTCAGTAGAGAGCACCGATCAGCATGCACACAAATTTTCAGCAATATTGCCAAGGCAACTTAGTAGCACTTTTGCAAATTCTCTTCCATATCACTTGGTATCAACTAGGTCATACGTTTTATGTGTTTTTATAACTGAAAATTTTCCCTGGGGTCAGGAATATTCTGGCAACTACGCTGACACAGAAGAAGGGGACGTTATTGCCATTATTGGCAAAAATACTGCTGCAATATTGTTTGGCAGTGTAAGGATACATTTTTCAAGTTACATTGCGACAGTTGATGCAACATTGCAGAGGAAATACTTCCAGTAATAGTACCGTATTTACCTGCGTATCATATGCACCCCAAATTATGGGGTCCTTTGAAAAGAAGTAACAGTTGGAAGTTTCTTAACATATAAATTGCGGAATTTTAGAATACGTTTCGAATGATAAATATGATTTGGCTTCGTAACAAGAAGATATATTACAAGACTCTCAAAAAAAGTTAATTCGATTAGAAGTCTAACCAAAAGAAGAAATGACTTCAATTTCTTCTTCTTGGGTTCCACATTACCTCAAGAAATTATTTAATATTTTGTTTTATTTTAGGTGCTGGGGACTGTCTCTTAGATTTAACTTCTCGTGACGGAAACTGGTTCCTCGATGATATGTGCTGGACTACAAGCTCAGCAGTCAAATTGATATCCTACTTCCCGCCACTAAAGTCTGAAAGTTCTACCGAAGCTGATTTTCAGTCAACCTTGAAATGCCTTCACTCAGCGCATAAAATTTTCCGAATTCTCCAAGAGCTCCTCATCAATGTTGAGTCAATTATTTTACCGGAATGTTTGCAGACAGTCTTGGTCGGAGAAAACAGTGTACTAGCCATGGTTGCCCAGTTGAGTCATATCACCAACTCCACACCTATCCCTCTCTCGGAATTGCTGCATCAGTTGGGTCTTCACCTTCGATTTGTCGTCATGGGAATGCCGCTTTGTATTTCCTCTCAATTCAGAATAAATTTAATTCCATGTAAAATTTGTTCCTAAGGTGTTAAATTTGAAAACATTATCATGAAGATCTTAGAGCTATGCCTTTTTTTTTTTTAAGAGAGAAGAATGAAAAAATATCAGCCTATGAAAACAATGCTACCATATCCCTGACAAATTGATGACAAAAGCATAGGAAATCTGAGGATTTTAAATATGAATGTAGTGATTAATAATTATCAAAGATTTAGCTAACTGTATCCATATATTTCTGTTCTCAGTCCCCGCACAGCAATGCCCTTCAAGTCGTAAAAGATTTACAAGAACAGTTCAAAGCATTAACAAAAGTTGAAGAGGCGGAAGACTCCCGCTCTCAAGGTCAGATGCTTCTGATGACGTTCAACGCTCTTTTTGAAATCTTTACAACGAAACATCTCAGCTTTTTTCTGCTCTTGGAACTTTGCAAGTGCCATCAGTTAGGAAAATTGTCGACCAAATTCGTAAAGCCAAAACTTTTGCTGTAAGTACTCACCATATTTTTATCTTTTGTTCCAAAATTTTCTTTATATTTTATTTTCTACCAATTAATGTTATCCTCTGTTTGTTGTATATCGACTACGTTTAAATTTTGAAACTGTAGTTATTCATTCTGTGATGTTCGGCAAGATTCAGAGGCCTCGTTGTTTTTTTAAAATGTGCAGTCCTGTTTGAGAAGCAGTTAGTTGTCAGACTAACCATCATAATTATAATAGAACAGTGATTACCCTCGTGATGTACAAACACAGCAGAAGAAAACTCCTAGCAGTTTAGTGTTCAACAGTAGCATAAGACTTTAGGGCACCAATTTGTTGAATTTTCCTCAAAATCGTAGAGTAAATCTGCAATAAAATTACCAATGATGGAAAAACTTGGCTCAGGGGTAAAAAACTTTAAAAAAAGTCGATTCAAATCTAGATAAGATTCAAAATTGAAGTTTTGAATAGAGCAACAAGAAGCAATTGAAAAATGATTGAAAAAAGCGAAGTTAATAAATTGCTCCCTCTACATCTATGTTAGGGAAAAACTGTATTTTCAGCCTGTAACACAAACTTAAAGAATCTTAAATAGATTTACTATTCTAATTAAGTGGATTCCAAGGTTTTAAAATCTGAATTCCAATGAATCTGATCTTCAATTTGATGTCATTTTACAGGCACCTGTCTGGGAAGAGGAATTCCGGGAGGTGCTAAATGACATGTTCTTGTTAAAACGACTTCAAACAATGCAAGACTTCTTCTCACTTTGCACAATCATGGGAGCTGGTTTCATTGGTGGGGCTGATGCACCAACATTCTTTTACAGTGATGCTATCTTATGCAGACCGATTCAACAATTCATTGCTGATTTCCTTGGACGCAACTTGCTCGGAGTATTTTCTCACACTCTTGCCGTCACAATTTGTCTGCTCTTGCAGCGCAGCGGTCTAAATGTAACAAGTAAGTCTTTTCATATCTATACTCGAGACTTAAATTTGTTTCTCTAATGGGGGGTACAAAAATCAATCAGTTGGTGAAGGGTTACCTGAAAACGAAAATGAATTATTTCGTTTCAAGGAACCAGTATGGTCTTTTCAATCATACTCTCTTAGTCTGATAGTAGCTTGAAAATTAGGGGACATTGAGGACAAAGGACTTCATGACCCAATGGAAGCATCAAATTTGTATAAACTGCAGCAGCTTTTCTCCTAGCTGGATCTTAAAATCTCAGTAATATCAATTTTTAATTAAGCATTTCAGAGAATTGATCTAGGTAAACCTGAAAAAGTATGCGAATTCCAATTTCAAATCCACCATGACTGTCTAAAAGTCGAGGAAGCATCTGCTGACAGAGAAGAAAAGCTAGATACCACAGGAGAACACACATTATGTGCTATGTCAAAAATTTATAATTTTTAGTAAAAATGTTACGATTTGGCGATAAAAATCCCAAACCATGTGTTACGTTTGCAGTGTTAAAGAATATCCGCTCTAATTTAATTTTTGTAGAAGAGAATATACCAACATCATTCCTTGAAATTTTTTTTGAATTTTCTTGGCACTGAAGAGAAGAATCATGAAAACTTTTAAGAATTGACATTCAGCAGTTCTCCATTTAAAAAGTAAAGTAGGACAGGAAGTTTCCAACGTCGCAAATAGAGATACATAGTTTAAGAATTTCTCCGTCACATTGCTTCCTTCAGTTATACTATTTTTGTTCCTGAATATGACTGTATCATTCTATTAATCCTTTGTTTCAAGGTGAAGTTGAAGAGAGAGATATTGGAGCCCAGAACAAAGTGTCCTTAGAGGAGTTGTGTCAGCCTAAAAGTGTGGACATTTTTTAGCCTCCGGCGAAACCTAGAGTCTATACGCCTTCGCCGCACGACTAAAAAACGGGGGCATCTTATCTTGGGGCAATACCCGCATATATCAGAGGGCTTACAGGTACATACTTAAAAGAATAGGTTAACTGACTTGTAATGAGCTTACTGAGCACCTTACTGATGTTGGAAAAACACTTATCTTGATTGCTGTATCTTAGAATTGGATACTGATGAAAATGCATCAATTTCACCAACAATGGAAACGCTAAATAGATAAGCTGAGCCAAATAGCAAGATCAGGCATTTTGAAAAATGCCTCAACAAACAGTAAGAAAATCATTAAATCATAACGAGTATCTTCATGCCTAGGCAGATAAGAATATTGAAATTATTTTCAATTCCTTTTTTGCTACAAACCTGAGACATTCATTTTTCTTGGTCCAATTAAATAAAGAAAATGGTAGGCATTCGGCAAAATAGCTGAATTAATGGGCTTCAAGAGCTTTGATGAGATGATTCTCGATGATTTTAGATGCCTGAATTTGCTATTTGCCTACGACAGATAGACCTCCATTGTATGAATGCATCATACTTGAACTTTGACTACGATTTTACTTGTTGAAGACCTCACAACAATTTTAGAAAATACTGAGAGTTAAATTTTTGAGAAGAAAGTACATAGTTCTGAGAAAAAAAACGTGCTCCACAGTAAAAAAACAGTGCTTTACACAAAATATACAATTGGCACTTGAGATACATTCCTCTACTTTAAAAATAACAACTATTTTAAAAATAAATAATAAGTTTCATGGTAAAACTACAGTCAGTTCGATAAGGTTGGTCTCTGGTCTTGAGGTTTCGAGACTTGAAGCAAACTTTCATTGCCAATCCATCGCCTTGTTAGAACCCATTCAACTCCATTTTGAATTTTGTTCCATAGATTATTGGCATGCTGCATACTTTATTGAGAAAAACTGACTTAACCAATGGAGGATGGATTGCACATCGGCAACACAAAGAAAATTTGCTATTTTGAGGGAAAAATTTTTGGATACATGACTCACAATACAGATAAACTTGTTTCAAACTATGTAATGGTTCGCGCAGCTGCAAGAGTATGAAAGCAAGCACTTTTTGAGACCTTCATTTTTTCCCCTGACATGTACATTTTCTTCCCTGATTAAAATTTTTTAATAATGAGAATTTGCAGGGTCTATCTCCTTGTTTTCAAAGCTGAACGACATAGTAAGTTCCAAACAGTTGCTCATTGTGAAAGTGACGTACCGCTGCTATTGTCATCGCAAAGATGAAAAGTCGGAGTCTGCAATTTTTGTTTCTCATGGAAGGTAGCTCAGCGTTTCAAGGAAATCAAAATCTTTTCAAAATATCTATTCACTGTTACCGCCTTTATTATTTCTTTATAACAAACATTGTTTGCCAAAAAATTGTAAAGGTTAAACATCAAGTACTATAAAAAAATCGAGCACTTTCAAGCCCTTAAAAATATACTATAATCATGCTTTTCCACAACTCTTTGTTTTTCAAGGCTGCACGAATCATGTTCCTACATTGTCAAGAAAATTCACTTACTTAATTTGTGAAAACGTTGGTAAAGAAAATTAATTTTCAGCATAAAATGCATAATTGAGATCAATTAGAATTAGAATTATAACAAAAAGCAATTTAATTTTGAGTTAAAATACATGAGCAACACGATTAAAGTAAAATGATCACTCTGTTAGTGCAACAGGTTCTGTTGTAACTTGTTCTGTGGCATCACTAGGAAAATTGACATTTTTACTGTGAAGGCTAGTCAATCTTACTAGGTTTCACACAATTTTTTTCAAATTCTGCTCCCTACATGGACCTAGAATAAGCAGGGCAAAATTCCTGATTTTAATACCTTCCCTCCCCTTGACAGATATTTTCTTCATTTCTTCTCTATTCCTTCCCATTTTGGACTAAAATCAAGTTGGGTTGATACTTCAGTTAACTTACTTTAACTCATAGTGGCATCAAGATTGCAATAAAAGTTAGAAAATGAAATTCCTTGACATTTCCCTGTCACATTTTGGTAAAATTTCCTGATAATTGAATGTACGCCTGATGGTTAGCAAGTCATAATCTGAAATTGTTTTGAAGCTTTGAAAGTAAAATTGACTGACAATAATTGAAAGACAATACGACCCAGTTAAGGAAATAAAGCTGAAGGATTTGTCCAAATTATTTTACACACAGTCCTAGAGTTCAGCAGAGATGATGCCACAAGAACAGCTCTTCAGCGTACTTCAGAAAATGAGGCAGAGAAGATGGATTTAATCTTATAGTTTGATCCCAAATCATTCAAGACCAAATTTCACAAAGAAATAAAATTCATGATAACAGAATGACTTCAGCTAACAAAGAGGGAAAAAATACAGGTACATAGAGTGACATACATACTATATATACAGGTATGTAAGTACAATACTAACTAATTAATGTTCTGAAAAGTTATGAGACACTTAACTCTGGGTAGTTAAATATATGCATATAAAATCAGTTGTTTGAGCGATACTGACTTGACTGAATGTTGTGATGTATACATTACATAAAAAATTAATGGCAACTTGATATGTCTTGGTATATTCCCGTCTCTACCTTAAAACTTCTCGACTACAAATATAAATTACAAAAATACCATTTTAAACCTTAGGAAGGTTGGTAGGTGGTAACTTAGAATGGTTCCGAACACTATCAGATTGGGCTGTGCTCAACCATAAGTTTCAGTTGAGAAGTCGAACAACCATACTTCAAAACATTCTTGATTTTCATGAAATCCTTGACTTTCATTGTTTTTTTTAATGCCGTGTTTAATTACATGTGAGAATCTGATGACTAGAATTGTTGGCTAACCTCAAGAGATGCGCAAGTGCGATAGTGTTCATCAGTGAAAGAGATTTTCGGAGGAAACGTGGAAAAAACTTCAAGACTTTTACGCGAAACAGCTTGAGAATTCAAAGTGTATCTTATCACAAGAAGTTTTCATTAATTTCCACAGATCTAAAGAAAAGGCCATGGCTTCATGCCCAAAAATGTTCAAAGGAATGATTTTTGGTCAGCAGAGTCAATGTTGATGAAAATTAGATTTTTCATAAATGTGACTTCAAACTTTCTTAGGGAGGGAAATATACAACTTCAGTTGGTTTCTGCCACCTCAGACAGCTCTAGAGGTTCCGTATAATAGGGGACTGCATTTAAATGGAAACCAATATACTTTCGGATACTTGCAGATGAGGGTTTTTTCATATTCTGACTTCAAGCTTATAATTTTTTTTTAAAAAATAATAAACTCCTTTAATATTCAATCTTTGGCGAATCAAAACTGTTTGACTCTCACATACTTTCCACAACTGCACAGTAGTGTGAATAATTTAATTTAATTTTCCAGAAAAAGAGGTCAGATCAAGTAACAAAAAAGAAACTAACTAATATTTAGGTAAAGTTTCAAAGTCTGAACACATACAGGGACTAGTGGAGCTGAAAAAATGCAGTCAATTGAATAAGTAAGAGCCTTTTTTAGGGCTGCGCGAGCCTGGTTTTTTGGATTCGAGCCGAGTTCGAGCTTTTTCGAGCTTTGAAAATGACCCTCGAGCCGAGTCGAGCTCGAGTAATTTCGAGTTTTAAAACGTGATTTAATCTATTTTCTACAACAAATAATTTCAAACAAGACTCATAATATGATATTAATAATTATTGACGATGACACACTAGGAATGATTTACACTAAAATTACAAAATGTTCGGCAGTAACGCGTTAAAATAACTTCCTGCGGTTTAATTTGAAAAGAGGACAAAACTTGGCAAGAAGCGGCGTGGCGCGGCATACATCAAAGGAACTTCGGGCGGCACAAGTAAGGGCTTTAGAGCCCATTTATGCACGCAATTCGTGTCGCCGGCGGCAGTTGTCGCCGCGACGTTTTTTGGAATCGCGCGATTCCTATTTTTGTAGCCGCAGCACCTTTTTTCTGCCGCCGCGACACCGTTTTTCTGGAACGCAAAAGGTCCAAAACACGTGCTCACTTTCAGTTTTCCAAGCGGCGGTCGCCGCCGCAGGTTGAAATTTGTCGCGCGCGTAAATGCGCTCATATGACTCCGTGTAGTTACAAACCGCGCGCGCGGCAGGAAATCGCCGGGCGGCAGCGTGTTGGCGCTGCGGATGGTAGAAATTTGCCGACGAGACTCTGATGTTATTCAATCGTAAAATGATGGCAAAACTAACAATAGTTTAAGTATGATTGAAATGTTTGGAAGTAGGACTCTTTCGGCGTTTCCGGCTCAAAAAAACTCGAAATACTCGAAAAAACTCGTGTTGTTGACACTCGAGCCGAGTTCGAGTACTCGCTCGAACCTAACCTAACTTTCGAGCCGAGTCGAGTACTCGATACTCGGCTCGACTCGACTCGAAATTCGAGTACTCGCACAGCCCTAGCCTTTTTGGCACCTATCTTTTACGCTCAGCCAATTAAGTAAGGTAGTCACTGGCATGGAATATGAATATAAAAAATGGTTTCAGGAGTGAAATCCACTTATCGTCAATTTGCTTAAAAATTTGGTGCAGGTTACTTTCACCTGAAATTGTACAACAGTATCAATAAACGAGAAGATTTTTGAGGTAAAAAAATAACAGTAACAAAATCATTTAAAAAAAGATTTCCTTGAACTGAGAGTCTTGCTGGCATCCAAATCTTTGGCACAGTTCCACCGTTTTTTGAAGGCACCCGTATTAATATCACGATTCGCCATTTTCTTTCAGTTCCATGGATAATTTTTTGGATTTCCTGTAAAAAGAAGTAAAAATTAACAAGATTGTGATAGAGAATTTTGGGATAAAAAAATTTTGAACACCGAAAGATCTGAACATACGAAAAAATATTTACTTTCTTTCATGACAAAACATACAAACATGATTTCTGATTCGTACTTGTGCTGTTACATGAGATTACGAGTAAAAAAAATCTTAACAGCTCTAATTATTTCTTACTTTTTTGATGAAAAATAAATAATATAAGAGCAAAATATCTGTACTCTGTAGCGAATAATGCAAAAAAGACAAAAACGCTTTTGAAAACGAATTAGGGGGGAAAAAAATGTGAGTCTTACTTTCCAAAGTTTTCCCCATCAGCTATTGAATCTGGTAAGTCTTTGTTGTGGGTCTCTGGTAACAACAGTGCTAAGGCACCAGCTGATAATGCAAAAGACCCAAAAATTATGAAAGGCAGAGGCCGCCATACTTCTCCCTGAAAGAAAATGAAAGATAAATAAAAAAAGCGATACTATGAAGAAATAGAATTTGGCTTAGTGCTTGAAATTACTAACACTGTAATGCAACATCACATGTTTGAGGCTAAATTACCAAGATCTTCAATCGATTAAGATGAAAAAATCAAAATATCTTCTTGCATAAGCTCAGGGTTGCCACAGAAATTAGAGAATGAATTTTCTGTATATTTTCCTGACAATAGACCTGTTGCAAACTTTCGCTAGAGCAAAAATAAGAGTTGTTTTTATCAGAAAACATCTACAAAATGACGATGAGCACATCGGCAGAGTTTGAAATGCACTCTGAACGACACAATCTGCACAACAAATTTGCATTTTTTTGAGCTTCCCGCTTCAAAAACGAGACGACAACATAGGAGAACATTTCATTAGAGGAGTCGTTCTGTCCAATTCCTGTGCACTAGAATACTACACAATATTCAACGTGGACAACACCAATGCGAAAGAACACATGTGCCTGAACGAGATTCTAACCATTTGTCAACAACCCAGTGTGTTTACATTCACGATTCCTTTGCGTTGATAAAGATCCGCTTTGGTTAACCTTGTGCTCTCAATTGCAAATTGCACGCGGAAGCGTCAGCTATGTTGGATATTGCTACTGGAAAAGGGCTGAATGGAATGACTCCTTTGACGAAAAGTTCACCTGTGATGCAGTATCTTTTTGGAAGCGGGAAGCTCAAAAAACCGCCAATTTATTACGCAGAATGTGAAGTTAGGAGTGCATTTCAAACTTTGCTAATGCGCTTGTCGTTACTTTTGAGACATTTACTGATAGAAAAACTCTTATTTTGCTCTAGCTAAAGTTTGCAACCGACCCATTGAAAAATATGCCAGATGGTTAAAAATACATAATTTAAAATAGTCTTTGGGAAAGATTTGTTGCTCAAAACATAGAACTAATTCTAGAAAGCAAATAAGGGTGTCTTAACACCTTTTCAGACACTTCTGTCATTTTTCCTGACTTTTTGAAGTTCTCTGACATTTTGCAACTTTCCCTCACTGTGGCAACATTGTAAGCCATACCATACAGTTACTCTACTTTATAATTTGTTTATATTTATGATTATCTACATTTTTTGCACTGCCCGAGGCGGGTTTTAATTTTGAAACTTTCACTTCATCACTTTAGCCCCTTCAAAATTCTGTGCAATTTTCGACAAGGTCATTAATTTATTAAATTTTTTTATCAGCCTTGGTGTCAAATAATCAGAGGAAAAGTACAAAAATTCCATACCAATATGTTGATGTACGGTGCAGCAATGCTTCCAAATCTAGCAACAGTTGAGCTAACACCCATTCCCACATTCCTGACGACAGTGGGAAACTGCTCGGCAGAGAAAACGTAAACGGTTGAATAAGATGCTGCCAGAGCTAACTTGCCTGACATAGCGAAAAAAATCAACCATGCAGAGGAGGAACCTGGGAAAGAGTTAAGAATTATTTTCACACTGAATGAAAAACGTAAAAAATTCATTCGACTAAAAGTAGTTTCATAACGTGAAAATTAGCATTACTTTGAGCCCTGTGCAAAGTTGATAGAGGCTTTAATCTGAGGTAAGTTATGGAGTATGTTTAACGATGATTTGTCCTGAATGCTGGCATGGTCGCACTGGCATGCCATTTATTACATTGATTAAGTACAAAAGCTGGGCAGGCTTTAAATTTTCGCCTGAAGAAGGACGATAACTCCTTCGCATGAGCTTAAAGAATAATTCTCAACCAAAAAAAATTGCAAAATTCAGAAGAAAAATGTAGGATTCATCTTGGAAAAAATCTCGCATTCCATACAAACGTCGATTACTGTATGGATGGCGAGATTTTTTCCAAAAAGAACTCTGCTTTCATTTCTCTAAATTTTGCCAAATCATTGGTTGATGATTCTATAGGTCCATGCACAGGGGCTATCATCCTTCTTTTTGGCTAAAAAATCAAAATCTGCTAAGAAGTTTTGCTCTCTCTATCCAATATATGCAGGGGCACTTTTACAAGTTGGTGACACTGTTTTTCCACCATTTAAACCCATTAAAAATATCGATCTGCGGCATCAAGAATCAATGGGCCTGTTGCAAACATTTGCTAGAGCAAAACTAAGAGTTGTTTCTTATTGATAATGCCTCAAAAATCATGATGAGCGCATTGGCAAAGTCTGAAATGCATTCATAACTTCACAATCTGCGTTAGAAATTTGCGGTTTTTTGAGCCTCCCACTTCAAAAACGATACTACGGCACAAGTGAACATTTTGTTAGAGGAGTCGCTCCATCGTCGGCAATATTCATCATGGCCAATGCTTGCGCAGTTCTGCGCGTAATTCGAGGAGAGTTTAAGATCAATCAAGGCGGGCGAGTAAAATATGAACGTAAACACGCCGATTGTTGTCTGGTCTTATTCTGATCAGGTGTTATCTCATCCCATCACTTGTGTTTTAGCGGATTGGCGTCGGCCATGATGAGTATTGCCAACAATGGAGCGACTCCTCTAACAAAATGTTCACCTATCGTTTTTGAAGCAGGAAGCTCAAAAAAACGCAAATTTCTTACGCTGATTGTGAAGTTATGAGTGCATTTCAGACTTTGCCGATGCGCTTACCGTGATTTTTGAGGCATTATCTACAGGGAACAACTCTTATTTTTGCTCTAGCAAAAGTTTGCAACAAGCTCATTGCTTTGCATAAATTTAAATGAAGGAAAGACAGTGTTGCTAACTTTCAAGAATCACTACTGGATGTACGGCACGCTGTTTCGACAATGCCAGAATCCAGAAAGAGTCACCTTATAATTAGATGAAGCCTGAAAATTAGACAGCTGATTCATCATTGACTGAATGTTATGTTTGAAAAGCATATTGCGTCAATGCATTCTGTTTGGGTGCAGAAGGGGCACTTTTCCATTGCTGTTTCAGAATCCTCGCTGCTAATTTTTATTTTAGAGGGGAAACTATCAGGAGAATTCTCTGGAATTTTTTTTGATTAGGTTTAATACATACCTTCTTGGGGAAACATTGTCGCTATTAGCGCAAGGCCTCCAGCAATCATGCACCCGGACAAGATAGTGCGGCGACCCCACCTATTTAGCGTCACCAGCAAGAAACAGTAGGCTGGGATCTCAACAAGCCCAGACAAAATGAAGTTGAGGTAAGGGTTTCCACCGAGGCTAGATGTGTTCCAGGAGAGGCCATAATAAGCACCGCTATTAACAAACCTACATAAACACAGAATTATTGTTTTTAAAGATATGTTAGTTTACCAAAAGCCTTTAAAAAGAAATTTGTCCTACAAATGATACAAGTTATAACTTCAAAGTGAAAAAGTCTGGCCAAAAATGCATACATAACAGTTTTAATAATGCAAGCCGTCTTAATTTTAATATTGCTGTCTTCAATATATTCCATGCTCTGAAATGAAAAATTCCCCTTTAGCTAATTTTTCAGCAAATTTTTTCGAAGGTTCCAAACCTTCTTGGGAAGTTCTTCCCGGTTCTGTCTCATCAATCATAAACAAAAATTACATCTTTGCCGATAGATTCGACCAATCAGGCCCCATGGTTTTTGATAGATTCGACCAATCAGGCCCCATGGTTTTTGATAGATCCAACCTTTTTCAGGATCATCTGCGATGCAGTGCCAAAATCACGCAGCAACATTTGTTGGTTGCTGAGGCAGAGGTTCTTGACGCAAATAAAAGGGCAGCTCTGAGGTTCGGGTGCAAAAGTAGTTCCAAACCTCAAAATAAAATTTGCTTCTTGACCCTTAATGGTGTAGCTATTAGAAAAGTCGTACACACGCCCATCTTTCTTGATTCATTATGAATCTAACCATAAAAAAATAAAAAAAGATATAGTTACCATAAGTAAAAGATGATTAAGGATTTCTTTCGCAAATTTGCATGCCTCATGAGATCAAGAGCTGAGGGACGTTTTTGTTCTTTGGTATCATCAGGTAAATCGTCTTTCTTCAAAAAGTCGTCAAGAGTTTCGGGAGATAAAGAGACTTTGTTTTCTTTGGCCACTTTTAAAATGATCGCTTTGGCTTCTTCCTTCCGTCCTTGGAGCAAAAGCCACCTCGTTGATTCTGGAATGAACCTGAGACATGAAAAATCGCTACATCTATTAAAGCAATTCTTGAAAATAAGAGGGTTTAAAGCATTAAAGACATGAAAAAAGAGCATAACCTAACTGGGATGATTTACATTTTCAAGGACATTTGAAATACAAAATTTAACAGAATCATTTGGAATGAGGGCAATTTCCCATCTTTATGTTCTCTACTCTATGTTCCTGATGCTCATTCACAAGATATACACCAAAAAATGACCATCCAAAAAGGCTAAAACGGAATTGAACATTTTAGAAACATTGTTAGGCCAGAGAAAAATAATGTACATTATTTTTAGCAAATACATTAGCGGAGTCGCTGTGTTTCTAGGTTTTGAGTCCCCAAACACAGTGGCAAATCTGTTAACGTAGTTGCTCCCTATCTTTACACAGAGAGTTTGTCTTGATATGATGGTGGACTCTCAGAGTAGCGTGGGATATCTGCTCCATTATGCCTTTAACTTTGAGAGCTTTTCTGGAGCTTTGGAGTTGATTTCAGAGAAAACCAGAGGCATCATTGTGTTTCTTGTAAAATATAACATGGATAATCACTCCTTAAATCGCAAATCTCTTACACATTCAAGAGCTCCATTGAGTGAAAGTAAAGTTTAGTTTTTCAAGTTGTTGGCAAATTAAGAGCTTATCAAATCCGCGAGGAATACTCACCACCAATAACTCAAAAACAAGATGGTAGGGAGCGAAATCGCTATTTCAAGATGTCTCCAGTTTGGGAAGTAATACGCAAAGACGGCGGTGAAGAGGAAACCAGCGGTAAAAAATAACTGATTACAGACACCAGCTACCATGCGCTTTGATGGTCCTACCATCTCTAAGGCTGTGAACAAAACAGAAAAACCAAGAGAACTATAGCAAAAGCAGATGAAAGATTATTATTGTGGCTCACACAGAAGTTAAAAACGTACTTCTTCTTAATGGAAGCGATCAGAAGCAGTTGAAAGTGCCGGATGAGATCGTATGGTAGCCGGAACATCAGAGATTGAAGAGAGTATAAATACCTCTTCTACTTTTTCTATAAATTTTCTGTTTTACAGTTCTTACAAGATTACCTTCTAGTCCTTGTAAGGAAATAGATGTGAATAACTTTGAAACAATTTAAAGGAGACAAGAGTGAGAAAGAATTCAAAACCAGGTCATCACTGAAATGCTGTGCTGTTAGAAATTTGAATCATTAGTCACACAATTATTGGACAGTAAGTCTTTTTCTCACTATTTTCAAATTTTGCCAGCACCAGTGAAAATTTTACATGGACTCATGAGAGAAAAGTAACTTACCGAGAACGTAAGCGACCAAAAAAACTCCTGTAGTGGCAGCACCTATCAGGAGACGCAGTGCTGAGAACGTCCAGATATCTGGTGCAAACCCAGCAAGGACCCCGAAAGCCACCAGCATGACGAGAGAGATGAAAAATATTGGCCGTCTACCATACCTGTTGAAAATAAAGTTAACATAAGTCTCGGAAGATTTTTTACCATACCTATTGAAAATAAGTACATTTATTTCTAGAGAGATAAATAAAAATTCCATCATCTTAGAGGTTGGGTCAGATGATATAAATTTTCCCAAAATCTTGCCCCAAATCTTTTGTTTATCTTCACAGGGATACAACAAAATATCTAATATCTCTGAATTAAGTAATTTTGGACAACTTTATGCCTTGTTTCACATGATTTGTTCAGGTCTTTTTTGTTTACAAAAATCATGACATTTTGTCTGTTTAAAGTGTTAAATTTCATATCCTGTCCTGGTTCATAGCGGAAAAAAGGGGGAAGATAAACATATCAAAGAGATGCACAAACCTATCAGCCAAGTCGCCGAAGACATACGACCCAATCAAAATCCCCACCATGAGCAGTGAGTCAGAAGTGGCTGCCATCCAAGCTCTGCTACAAACTAAATTCCACTAAAAGTCAAACATGGGGTCATCAAACATTTCCTTAAGCAAAACTTAGATATGCAAAGTTTCAGTTCAATGTGTCTGGAGAAAACTTGCCACAAAAAGACTCCCAAACAGGATTTTGAAGATATTTAATAATGCCAAAAATACAGTTGCTATTCCTTTTTTGTTGTAAAAATTAGATGTGAGCACCTTTTTACTGATTAAAGACAGATAAAATGGCTGGATTCGAGATGAATTTTGGTTTCTTTCTGAAAATTCAAACATCAGCATTTCTTTTCTCCTCTGTTCTGACTTTTTGTTTTTTAAAAAGAAAAAAAATTAGGTTATTCAACTACAAAATGGCAGGAAAAATACGCAAGAGAAATATACTGATTTCTTGTAAATCAATTACTGAGCATCAGTCAAGTCTCATGAGATAATATTTTCCATCTCTTGAGGTTCAATGACTTTTTTTCCTGAGAGGATACAGAAGTGTGTCTCGTTCACACTAAAAGTTCTATTTTCAGCAAATAACCAAAAATTAATTCTGTTTCCAGTCATGTATCGATCGATTTCTTAATCTATAGGCAACAAATAGCTTAGTGGCATGGTTTGGCTGAAATTCTGAAAAGGAAGCAGGGCAAACGAACTAGAGTATCTATAAAAAGCTAACATTCATGACAATGACTTAAATCCCAAATAAAGGTTCAGTTGATTTTATTCGTTCAGTGCATCATAAAAATCATACAAGAAACCTATGAGCAGTTACTAAGAAATATTGCTAATTTCAAAATATGCAGGCTTCTTATATCATTATTTTAAAAAGTTCAGATTTCCTTAGAGCATATGCATCTTATATCCGAGCAGCACAGATTGAAATAATTGCTATTACATGGTAAAGCTATTACTAATGCAATAAAACCCGTTTTTTTAAATTTAATGATTTTCGGAACTTCCGAACTCATATCCAATCCAGCTTCCAAGGTCAAATGGCGCCGAAATTTCTAGATTTTCTTCTTCCATGCATTTAGAAAAGTTGAGGTAAATTTGTTTTCGGCAGATAAGGTCCCTTTTCACAGATCTGGTCACATTTATTTCCTGTGGGCGTTTTCTGAATTGACTAATATCCGAAACTCCTGCTTAAAGGGGAGGGCAACCTTAAAAAGAAGTTTGGCTAAATCGACGAAGAAAAGAGTGCAATGAATAACGCCAAAATCTGTTTGCGAATATCTGCATTCGTTGAGCCGCTATCAAGAAAAAACAGCTGAGGGTGTGACGTCATGATCTCTGTCTTGCATTTCGAGGTCTGCAGTCTGCACTCTGCATTCTGTCTCCGGTGTCAAGAGGCCGACGGGTGTTGCGACAAGTTCTTAGTTCGCCCCGATCTCGCTCATTCTAGCCGACGTTTTTTTCTTTACTTTGGTGTGACTACTTGTTGTTTTGTTTTTTTACTTAATGAATGATTTACCATCTCAGTATGAACCGCAGTCGCACTGGGGGCACATGATAGTCAGACTTTCCATCTTTCATATCTCTGCCGATTTTGCGAATTCTTCATTCAGGACAGAGTCATTTTGCTTCTTACACCTTCCCACTTCAATTTTAATGCTATCTCATTTTCGATTTTAGGGTTGCCGTCCCCTTTGAAAACCAATTTTGTTACTTACTTTAAAATAATACATACCTCTGTTACAGTGCTCCATCGAACATTCTCAGGATCAAAGATCCAGTCATTACAAGAGACACTTTGATTTGCAGGAACGCCACTGGCAAAGTACTCTGAAGAGAAGTTGGTATCCAGGATGCGACAGGTGGACGGGTTGCCTGTGACCTCGTCTTTTGGTAATACCATTGTAAGATTGAAATCTGATAAATTAAAGCTAGTATCATGAAATTCATTTGGCAATCGGCACCTGAAAAGAATAAAACCATGTAAGAGAAAACCAGTAGACCATGAAAAATTCAAAGGAAGCATCAGCTGCATTGCTTTCAATGCTATGAGATATAAAAGAAGTAATTATGGTCCACAAAAACAGGTACAGTAAAAGCTCGTTAAGACGAAAAATGAAGGGGCCGAAAAAATTTCGTCATAAGCGGCTTTTCGTCTTAACCGTTCTCCGCTTAAGACGAAATTTGTCGACATGAGCGGCAACTGCGCTTAAGACGAAATTTTTCGGCATTAGCGGCAACTGCGCTTGAAAGTTGCGCTTGAAAGTTGCGCTTGAAAGTATCCGGACAGCTTTCAAAATCCACACAAACTAAAATTAAAGATTATTTTAAGTGAATGGCTTTTTGAAAGATTATTATCTATCAGTTTTAAATTTTTAAATTTTATACAATACGAAATCCAAATTTTATTTTTCTTCGTCTTAACCGGCTTTGGTTACGGGTCAAAATTTCGAAATTTCGTCTTATCTTTTTTTTTACATTGACTCTTATGGAAGTGTCAAGGGACCGAAAAAAATTTCGTCTCAAGCGGATTTTCGTCTTAACCGTATTTCGTCTTAGCGAGCTTTTACTGTACCTTGATGCCAAAAACTTCAAAATCAAAATGCTGGTACCGCACTGCTAAAAGAATGTCCTCGGGAAGTTATCGTAACATTTACATTATCATGAAAAATATTTTACACGAACGTAATGTTTACATAAACATTTATGACAAAATGATGATTGTTTCGAAGTTTGCGGTTTAAACCATGTAATTTGAGGAAAAGGCTAAAACCATGTAATTTGAGGAAAAGGCTACTGTAAATTGGAACAACTAAATACCTTATAATAGAATCGAAAAATTTTGAGTCTAAAAAATATTTGCATATCCTCACCTATGGGCTACTTTGGCTTGCAGAAAGACACCAGCTAATTTGTGCAGGGCAACGGATATAACAGGTAAACATAGGAGGATGTAAATCTTTTTTTGGTAACGTCCGAATTCCCCGAGTTGGATCAGAATATCGTCATACGCCATTTTGGAAGATTATCATTCAAAGCCACCCTCGTCATAAGCTGAAACTGAAACAGAAATTGGAATGGGTTAAAGGACCGACAAGATAACGCCAATAGATATCAAAAAACAAAAATATGACACTTGTATACGACATCATAAAACCATTTTTGCAAAAAAAAAATATGACCGCGAAGATAACGAAAAAGCTTCCAATCCCCTTTGAGAAGAGGCTTGCGAGAAGAACATCTGACCATTATAGCAATGCTGCATTACTGGTTGCATACACTGCAGGAGCTACGACGACCGGCATGTCGCGATCTCGCATACTTAGAAAAGTTGGCCGGGAGACCGAGAATTTTGACCTAAAACTCGAGTGATGAAACAAAAATAGGGCAATTTTGTCTGACTTTCATAGAATTATGCGACCGAAATAAAATTATGGGATTAATACCATAATTTTCATGTCAACTTCAAATTCAGATTCAGTATCAGGGTCGGATTTAGGGAGAAGCCACATGGGCCGCGGCCCATGACGGCAAATTTTGCAGTTTTTTTTAAATGTAAATCCATAGGTATATAAAAAAATCGGATTCAGAAAAAAAATTACAATCGAGAAAAGGCGACAAAATCTCTCATTTCCTGAGAGTATAGTGTTTTCTAATTGTATCGTCTTTCGGCGATACAAGAGACAGCACCTTTAATTAATTAATTAGTCGAGCTAAGAGAGAAACAGAACACGCAATTTGGCCTGGAACGGCGCGGCGCAGATAGCAATGATGACGAGGACTTGGGATGAAAAGGAGCAGCCCTCAGCTCAGCGGTCGACATGTAACACATATTAGCACCTACAAGACTGCATGAATACTTCACGCATTGCGTCAAAAACAGTGTGTTCAGCAACGGTTGGCGTGAAACGCATAGCGCCTACAAGACTGTAGGAATACTTCACGCACGGCGCCAAAAACAGTGCGCATGCGGTCAGCGTGGCGCGGTGGCGGAAGTTAAAATTATTAAACCACATTTATGTTTGTTCTTGCATAATTTTTTTGCTCATTTCTCATAGATGGATGGCCTTGTCTACAGTTGACAGGGCTTTCGCAAAAACTTGTCCAACACGAATAAACGCGTCTTGTTGAGTTCTACCGTGATAGCGAAGAGAGCAGTAAGTGCAAAAATGAAGTAATGATAAAACAGGCTCAGAAGCTTCCGACCGGAAAATTTTACTGAAAGAAGCCTCCGTTCTTTGTCAAATTGCCACTAATCGTCCGAAAGACGCCTGATAGTAGATTTTATGATTAAAAATCGACTGGTTTTATTTCAATCACATAAAAGGGTTATTTTTCATTTTCATGCTAGATTATTGTTAGGCAAGACAGCCGTAAGTGCTATATTCTGCATGCTTTCGTGGTTGCGTTTTGGACACACACCAAATACATTTTCAGATTAGAAAATCGAAGAAGAGGGCGGTACTTTACTCGAAAGCACTGTTTTCATTGGTCATCTGGAGGAATAATGTCACTTACTGCTGTAGCGCTGTCTTGCCGAAAACTACGACATTTTTTGCGCGCTTACGGCTCTCTCCTACGTCTCGCTTTGATACAAATATGATGAATTTTGCTGTTTTAGCTATTTCAGTGATTTCATTTGAAAGAGTTTAGACGAGTCTTGAAGGCAACTCGATTTCGAAAATTTGACACTTACTGCTCTCTTCGCTATCACGGCAGAGTTAAAGATCCCTGACCCTGTGCGTGACCATTGCGTCGTCGCCGCTGACGTCACAAGCGCTTTATAATTCCCATTCATTTTTACGGCCCTCAACAAACGAGCATACCCCTTTTTTTCCACCTGTCTCTGATTCCGTTTAGCAGAAATACGTCAAACTAGTTAGTAGCACTACTTTCGTTTCAACAAGAAGGTCACGATGATCCAGTAAGGGGTCATTAAAGAAACGGCTAGTTAAGCCCGCTTTGTTTAGATTAACTTATGGGGGCTCGCCAAACAGGCCTTAGAGTTCCTTTATAGAGAGAGTCGAGACAACGCGGCTTATGCACGGAGAAAAAAACCTCGTGCGTGGGACCCGAAGTTTAGGTCATATGGTTCTCTGAAGTTTTCAGATTGAGCATCTGAACACTTAAGGTCTTGCTGTCGAGGTTCGGATCACACACCTGAAACTTCAGTTCTTACATCTGAAGTACTTCGATTTTCACATCCGAAAAACTCCGGTTCTCACATCTGAAGTACTTCAGGTGTAAGAACTGAAGTGCTTCAGATGTAAGAACTGAAGTTTCAGATGTCTGACCTGAATTTCAGCAGCTAGACCTTAAGTGTTCAGATGCTCAATCCGAAAACTTCTGAGATCCATATGACCTAAACTTTGGGTCCCACGCACGAAGTTTTTTTCTCCAACAACATGATGTCACAAACGGTGATAAAGATTACTTAAATGAACGTTTTTTGTATTCTTTGATCAACCCATTCCCAAATTCCTATCTCCGTACCCCCTCTCATTCCATTTGTTCCTTGCCGTACCCCCGATGTCCCGGTCCATTCCAATTTATAAAGTTTGCAATTGGTGAAACTGTAATCTTAATCCCCGTTTGTGACACTGTGAAGGCAAAAAATACGGGAACCAATTAGAAATGGAGTCGCATTGCCTTTACTCTCAGTATAGGAGGGACTCTAAGCAGGCCTCAGAGTGCGCGAAGCGCTCTCTTGGGGTTTGCCCGCGTAGCGATCAGGGTGCGTACCCTACAGTAATTCTCAAAGATCAACGCCTACGACATGCGACGGTGATTGTGAGCGTAATCTGATACAGATAATCAAAGGTGCACAGTATGCAAAATAACTTGCATAATTCGCAGGGAGAGCCGCAATATTACTCCTGGGAATGATAGACACCACGGCTGGCCTTGGCAAGTGTACAACTAACGATAAACCCGAGAAAAAATATTATTTTTGCGGTGCTCTCGCGTTGGTCGAGTTCGCAAAAACTAAAGGACGTGAGGACAACATAAAAACGGAAGAGGAAGAGGTGCACTATTCGTCCGTGCTAGAGAAAAACACCGTACAAGCATTCAGACGTTGTCAAATTTTGGCTTAAAAAAGTGGGATTTTCTTGGGAATCGATGGTTATTTTCCTTCGACTTTCCAGCAGAAATTTACTGAGTACACATAAAGCCACAAGTGCATAAACGACGGATGACAAGTTTTCAAGTTTTGAGAAAATAGCGTTCAAAGTTTTCAAAGCTGTGTAATTCAACGCCCGTGCAGCAAATGGGGACTGGTCAAGGAACTGATTATAGAGTAAAATACTCCTTTGAAAAAGGAGCTTAAGAACTTTAAATTTGAAGAAAATGTTAACGAAGAACAGCGAGTTGGTTATTTTTCTCGATTTACTTTATTTGAGCGGGAAATTTTGAGTGCCTTGAGCATTTTCTCAACGCTGCAGACTATTTTTATCGATTTTCCGCGATTTCCGCCAAAATGGGGGGGGGGGGGGGTACGCCAAGGATAACGTACTTTGTTGGGGGGTCTGGCAGTGGATGACGGTTGGATACGGTGAGGGAGGGAGGGGTTGAAAAATTGAAGAAATGGGTGACGTAATTTATGGACGGCCCCTTAACGTGCACTTTTGACGTTCTGACGAGGCGAGGAAATTTTGAGGCTGATTTTGCGAGTGATACCTCCTCCAAGAACGCCACAAAATTTAGAAAATGAAACTCCCTGACATATCCCTGATTTCTCCGACACATTCGAGTAAAATTACCTGATGAATGAAACATGCAATATGCCAAAAAAACACATAATTTGAAATAGTTTTAAGGCAAAATTTGTTATTTTGAACGTCAAATCTATTCGAAAAAGCTAATAAAGGTAAATTTACAATTTTTCCCTGAAACTTTCGTCATTTTCTCTGAAATTTCCAGGTTTTCCCTGACTTTTTAAAATTCCCTGACATTTCCCGGCCTCCCGGTATTCCCTGACTGACAACCCTGCTCCTCCCTCCGTGGAAATTTCGGCACCCCTTTTGTCAAATCCATTCGAAAAAGCTAAGAAAGCAAAATTTACGATTTTTCCCTGACACTTTCGTCATTTTCCCTGAGATTTTCAGGTTTTCCCTGACTTCTGAGAGTACCCTGACATTTCCCGGTTTTCCCGTAGTCCCTGACTGTGGCAACCCTGTTCCTCCCTCGGCAGAAATCCCCGCACCCNTGGTGTACGCCAAGGATAACGTACTTTGTTGGGGGGTCTGGCAGTGGATGACGGTTGGATACGGTGAGGGAGGGAGGGGTTGAAAAATTGAAGAAATGGGTGACGTAATTTATGGACGGCCCCTTAACGTGCACTTTTGACGTTCTGACGAGGCGAGGAAATTTTGAGGCTGATTTTGCGAGTGATACCTCCTCCAAGAACGCCACAAAATTTAGAAAATGAAACTCCCTGACATATCCCTGATTTCTCCGACACATTCGAGTAAAATTACCTGATGAATGAAACATGCAATATGCCAAAAAAACACATAATTTGAAATAGTTTTAAGGCAAAATTTGTTATTTTGAACGTCAAATCTATTCGAAAAAGCTAATAAAGGTAAATTTACAATTTTTCCCTGAAACTTTCGTCATTTTCTCTGAAATTTCCAGGTTTTCCCTGACTTTTTAAAATTCCCTGACATTTCCCGGCCTCCCGGTATTCCCTGACTGACAACCCTGCTCCTCCCTCCGTGGAAATTTCGGCACCCCTTTTGTCAAATCCATTCGAAAAAGCTAAGAAAGCAAAATTTACGATTTTTCCCTGACACTTTCGTCATTTTCCCTGAGATTTTCAGGTTTTCCCTGACTTCTGAGAGTACCCTGACATTTCCCGGTTTTCCCGTAGTCCCTGACTGTGGCAACCCTGTTCCTCCCTCGGCAGAAATCCCCGCACCCTTTTTGTGCCCCGCATCGTGGAGAGGATCAAAATTTGTCGGCTCTATTCTGCCGTGCTAAGGAAAAACACCGTATGAACATTCGAGAGTTGCCAAATTTCCCTTGATAAAACATGTATTTATGACGACATTCATGCA